TGGGTTAGTTGAGCACTGTCTAACATTCCTAGTAGACTTCTTGACAAAGCGCCAAAAAGCATGGCAGTGCCAAGAGTCACCGAAAAAATGAAAAGCGGCTAGTTATATCTCAAACTGGTGCATGGGATCACCAGTGAAGTCAAAATATGCGACATATATATATTTATTCATATACATATACATGAAAATATATATACATATGAATTACAAATTGTTAGAGATATTATCTCAATTTGTTGAAAATATGTATAAAAAAAATTTTTTTAAATATTAATTTATTTGTATGTATGTCTCTTCATGAAATTCATTTAATTTTAAAATAATTTATGGATTTCATAGACATGAACGCATACAAACGTGCGGCAAAGGTTTTCCACATAGAACACAATGAATAGGAAACGGAATGGCAAATTACAGCAAATTGGTTTCTGTTTCTGTGTGTGTGTGTGTGTGTGTTTGTGTTTGGAGCAGCAAATAAAATTGTAGCAGGGAAAAAAAAAAAGCGTAGTACGTTGGCGGTTATATTTTCCCTTACCTTTTTACCTAATGCAATCAAGTTAAATGCCATTAAATTTGATGGCTCTGTGCGCAAAGGGGTGCAGAGTACGCAGAATGTATAAAATGTAGCTGAATGGTACAATTGCCCTACGGCTGTTTTTTTTTTCTTTTTTCTCTTTTTTTTTTTTTAATAGCCGGACAATCGTAAAAATGCTGTTAAAATATAAAATTTGCATTAGCATTTTTATGGTTTTATCTGTTGTGCGTAGAAATTAATTTTCGAATATTACGCATGCGGAAATTCAATTGCATGCGAGCAGTGACAACTGCCATACGAACTTCCATGGAATTGTTGCAAAAATAACAATAGCCAATTATATTTGGGAGAAGTTTCTGCCGACATGCCAGTTGAAGGAGTTGAAGCAGCAGTTTTTTGCTGAAGGAACTTTGCAGTTAAGGTAAGCCACATATCGTAAGAGAGGCACAGGAAATTAAAGTAAAAACTGCCAATAGAGTTCCAGGGCAAACATGGCAAACTTTTAATTGCGCAGAACGAAAAAGAGTGGAAGAACAACAGAGACAGAGAGAGAGAGAGAGAGAGAGAGAGAGAGAGAGAGAGAGAGGCGATAAAAGGCTCAGTCAGATTATGTGACAAAGACCGGTCAAAATTTTGGCCAAACAAAACTTAATTGCAATATGCAAAGCACCAGTGCCGCAGTGAATCCCTCCTGGCACCTGGACGGCGGGCTCAGGCTCTGGCTCAGGCTGCGGCTGTGGCCTCCTCGTGCACTTTGGATAAATGACAATGTTTGACAAGGCAAACAATATACGCATTCCCACTCATGACTGCTGGCCATGCGAATGACACTGACACAGTTCGGGCATGAGATGCGGCAAGCCGGATGTGGCGGGCGTGGTGGGGCGTGGCTGATGTCAAGCGACTCATTGCACATGCAACACCCACAATATTGTCCTCTTTACTATTTTGTAGGTTGTAGCAGCTCCTGATCCCTCTCCCCGCCGGTTGCTGTGTGTGTGTGTGTCTGCTTGTTTGCTCCCGCACTGAACCTGATCTCATTTAACGCTGTCGTTGTGTTTGCCCAACTTGCAACAGCAGCCGAGCCAACGTTTTTTGTTATGAAATGCGAAAAGTACGAAAACTCCGAGACGAAGCGTTGCATATTGATTGCCCCAAGCCAGCACCCATCCGCCCCGCTTAACCATGTGGCACACAATTTGCCACCGCTTGAACGTGGCCTAATTTCAGTTGTTCTTGATGTCCTCCTGCACTGATTGTAGTCCTGGCAAGGATCCGCTTATAGCTAGCTGACTTTGACAGGTTGACAAGTTTTTTTTTTCGTTTTGCCATGCAACTTTCAGTCCATATGTATGGCAGAGGGTGAGTATTTGTTAAGTTATGAAGTGATGTCAGAACTTCCTTAGAGCTCATATTTCTCTGCAGTGTACTCAGTGCTCATACAGTAGCTGACAGATCTCCGAGTAAAATATTGCCAGTAAATGTGTTTTAATTATTTATTTTAAAGCAGCTTTTAGTTTACGCTTATCCATATGGATCTAGTTTAGCACAAATGCTACACTGTGCTAGCTGTTTGTTGGTGTTTAATTAGATATACCGAAAGATTTCACGCTGTATTAATTTGATCTTAGTTGGAAAACAGCAACATTATTGCCATAACAACGCAGGCAGCACCAACCCAAGGCGATTCGCGTTCTCCGATCCGCGCCAACTTCCACAATGTAAGCCGTAACCCGGACTTATTCCGATCCAATATCCTGGGACAGAGTGGTCGCACATAAGCGCAGGTGCAGATCAACAATAGGATTACCGAAAGTAAACTTTGAAAGTTGAATAATGCACTCATTCTTGCGAATTAGTATTTATTCTTTTTTGAGAGAACTTGTACTCGGCAGAAGCAGCAAATAGATTAAACTATGGCAAATATGTTCAATGTTAAAAAATATGTTTTTTATGAGAAACAGTTGATAGCCTACTACTCAATTTAATGTCAATTAGCAATACTATGTTATGCCACTCGACAAGCTTTTTAGCTGTGGTAAGGTTCAAACCTTGATTGCATGATGAAATAATAAATATTTATATGTATTTGCTCGCTTCGAAAGAGAAAATTTTGCTTAGCGTACGACGGACAGACACTTGTATTGTATTATTTTGTATTTTTGTTTTTTTAAGGGACTTGAATGCATTTTTTACTTAAATTTAATTCATTCAACATTTCCTGTGAAAGGCAAGAGAAAAAGTAACCAGAATCAGCTCAATAAAAAATCCTCTTTGATGCGTCTCAAAGCGAAAAACTTTTTCAATTAAACATTTTCTTCTTAAAAACACAGACACGCATCGAGCAAATGCCCTTAGCAAAAAAAATAACGTCGAAGTCAGAACCAAATGGTTGAAAAAATCGAACAAAATATTAAAACATAAATTTTTTTCGTTTCTGAATCGAACTTTTGCGGTGAAGTGCACCAGATTTATGCAGCCCCCCAAAAAATGGATTCGTGGATGTCTGCCCAATGGAAAACGCAAAAAAAAATAAATGTGTATTGTTGTTATTTTTTTCATATTCTTGTTTATATTTTTTTGTAATTTTCTTTGCAGCTGAAAAGGCAGCAACTGCAAAATTAAAACGCGAAGCTAAAGAGTCGCCGAGCTGGCTGGCCAATTGTTTATGGCTTATTGTTGCTTGTTCCTGCGGAACTTTCTGTGGTGCTCGGTTGCCAAAGCGGCAAGTGCCAGACGACCCAAGTTGTCGAGTACCAGTCGAATTCGCAAACATTTGAATATTTTATGCAAACTTTATTAGCAATAAAATCAAGTTAGCTGCCAAACACTTGTAATGAGCTGGCAGAAGGGCAATGGACATGCGGAAAGTCTGCATTTCCAATGGGAAATGCCAACGACAACAAACTTTCCCATAAGCAAAATGCAGCAAAATGAACTTTCAAAATCCTCTACAAATAAACATCACATGTTCTCTATCGTGTCTTACGTATATGTATCACAGTATCAATCGCATCCATTCACAGACATTGACTCTGTCAAGTTGGCGCAGTTCTTATTTACGTTAAAGAGTATGGAGATGCCAGTGTCCGTCAGTCAGTCACTTAATCCATCTTTCTTTAACATTAAATAAATAGTAAAATGGGTAGCAATCAAAACTCTTTTGAAAGCAGTAGATATTAGCAAAAGCTAACCAGTCTAATGTTTATCATACTTATATGTAAACTAATCATTGTGCATTGTTGTTGCAATATCATAGATATCAGAAGAAAAAATACAAAATATTTAATATTAATAAAAAATTAATAAAATCTACAATGTAAGGATACTCTTCGGCACTGCCTGCAACAGAAAGTCGGACCTTTGCAAAGTCTTAAGACAATAGGCCTTTACCTGAGAGATTTGTTCGCATACAAATAGACAGATTCCTTCTGTCAATCGACAAACATATATATATATATATATATACTTTATGTGTTCGTAGATATCACTTTAAATGCGCTCTATATTTCATGACAAAATTATAATACCCTCTACAAGGGATTAAAATGGAAAACAAGTTTAAATGTGAATTAGTAAAACTGTCTTAAATGCTTTTAATTATATTTTATAGCAAGCCATACGAACGATATTGTAACATAAAATACTCATAAACTGTTAATAACGATAATAAACTTCAAACTTCAAAAGAGCACGTTGAAAGACAACTACTGATTTAGTATTTAATATTTTGAAGAATATTCCCTGAAGCTATTGTTTGCTCAAATATTATGCTATACTACTGAGGCTAGGTAGTATTATGCGCACACATAAACTTTGAATGTGCCGTGATATGGAAATGAAACATTTTCCGCTTTTCTCACGCACCTCTTCCCTTTGTCGAGCGCATTTCACATCTGACGCCGCTTATTAAAATTTTGCACACAAAGCCAAACGAGCTACCAGCTCAGTAGTAAAGTGAAATTAATAAACAAACAAAATACAAAAAAAAAAAAAACTGAAGGGAAAAAAGATTTTCAAGTATACGCACTGTATGACGCACCCCCCGACGCTGACTCTTATCAGCCATTTGACATTTTCAAATGTTATGCATTTTTTCGCACATTTACTTAACAAACGCGCTGAGCACGAGGACCATAAAATGCAATGAGAAATTGTGCGGCAAGAGAAGAGAGAGGGAAAGCAAGAGAAGGATGAGAACTTTGGGGATGTGCTGTTTCGACTAGGGCTGTCAAGCCGTTGTGTGGCACAAACTATAAAGACGGCAACTTCAGCTACTTGTCACCGCGACGCAACGCCCCAAACGTTGCCACGCCCCAGCCCTATAAAGTTTTCTGCTGCGAATTATTGCCCGTGTTGTGTTCGTGTTTGTGTGTTTATCTTATAACACGTAGCCCCGAAAGCCAGGTCGGTGCCTCATTTGCCTCCAGTTGTTAATTAAGTTGACGTCGCAGGAGGCTACGTGCCAGACGCTGAATTCTATTGGGGCTCAGCGGCCCAATGGCTCCACAACTCCACAGCTGGCTATCGGAAGCTGTCACTTTTATATTAAATTTCTAGGCAACACATTTCGCTTTTATTTTGACATTAATATTAATATTCAATTAGCCAGGCCCACACACAGCCTTGGGCCGTCCAATTAATGTTAATTATGCTAAGTAGAAGAGGCCACTTGGAAGTTTTTCTTATTTTATGCCCAAATTGCTGTCAAATTTTTATTATATTTTTTGTAATATTAAATTTCTTGCCAGTCTCATAAATCGCGACACTTGACCTCACTGTCCCCGAAAGTATAAATTTGATTTGTCTGCTTTTCGTTCGTATTTCTCTTGCTCCATTATATAATTGTTCTACAGTAATACCAATGGCATGTTAATTGCTTTTAAATTGCAAAATTCGTAAGCGTTAAAACTCAAATTAACAAAGCTATTGAACAATTTCTTCGATCTGCTCGCCCGCCAGTTTTGTTTATTATGCTAATTGAGTCTCTATTTCGGGGTGCTTGGTTTTTCGCCAGGCTGGGGCTTTACGGCAATTAACTGTGTATCCGTTGGGGTCGATTTAGCGTGGGAGCTGACTAACTTTTACATATTTCCATAAAAACATCAGATTAGTGATAAGGTAGGGAGAAAATCCTCAAGCATCCCTAAGCTATATCAAAGTACTGTGCATTATTTAAATTATAATGAGTCCAAGATTAATCTGCTTTAATATAAATTCTAGCTTTGAATCATTTTTGAATAAATGGGGTATTATAATGAAGCACGCTCAACACCGAGGTATATATTCTTGATTAGCATCTGTCTTTCAATTGCAATACATATAACGGAACCGGCCTGATCGGTTGAAAAGTAGGTTCTTGTATAAACGACATTTGAAGACAATGAAGACAAAACTTGGCATTTGTTTAGTTCACTCCATTTAAATAAATTTATGTGATGAATGAATGCGCGAGTGAAATTCAGAGCTCTAGTTGTTACCGCACTTCACATATCTGAATGGGTTTCTATTCTGCTTACGCCTCTTAATGGCGTCCTCTTAATGTTGTGAAAAGGTTTTATTAGTTTTATGACAGGGCTGAGTATTCTTGAACAAAGTGAGTGGGTTTTCGACATGGCTTCTCCCTGCCACAAAAGCTGTTGGCCACCGCTCGGCATTCGTTTAACCATCATAAATGATATTGCTTTTAGCCAGCTCAGCGCACATTAGCGCCAGTGCCGCTCGCATGCGCCGCCCATTTATAAGTCATGCCCGAAAACTCTAAACGAGGCAACCTAAGGGGCAACGCCCCGGTGGGGCTGGCGCTGCAGCACCTGCGTCCGGGTGCCACGCATATTTAAACATGCCAAAACTTTTGCGCCTCTCGACCTTTGGACAAACATTCCGGACGAAACATAGCGCAGCTGACCCGTCGGCTGCTGCTGATTTCAAATTGAGTTCCCTTTCGGTTCCGGTCAATGCATAAAACTGGGCCCGGCGGCAATCGCAACGCGCAAAATCACAGGCGGCTAACCATGCAAACTGTTAAATGTTTGCATATCAATCTTTTCTTCCGAGTGCTCTGTCGGGGCTGTTTCTCTTTCTGTTCAGTAGCTGATTCAGATTCTGGTGCTGGCAAACCGGACCAACTGTTTGGGGGCTTTCAGCTTTCAGCCTAAACCAAGTGGGAGCCATACATTTTGCAATGTTCCAGTGGCTGGCGCTGGCGCTGTTGTTGCTTGCTGCTGCTGTTGCTATTGCCAAATAACTTCCATTTCGTTGTGCTCCGCTTTCTGTTCCCCAGAGAAAGCAAACCCCAAACAATGAAAGGCATTGCCAACACATTTTCACCGGGGCTAAGAAACAAAAACCTTTACAAAAAGTTTGCATATGCCAAAAGTCAATTGAAGGTAAGGCCAGCATCAGCACCAGCTCTTGATGCATTTCCCACTGACTGTGTCTTGTATCCTGTATCCAGCATCCTGTGCCCTGAACGCGCTTAGCCTGGTCCTTATGAATAACGTTTGCAATTGAGTTTGACATACATGAGGAATTGTATGGCAAGGTAGATCTCCGGTAAGGTTGGGACGGGGGCCTGCTTGCCAGTTGCCGACTTGATTGATTGATGAAATATTTGGGAAAATGGGGCTGCGAATAGCAGCCAGGTTAAAGGGTAATCCATTACGATAGTTACCACATTACACAACAAGCTCATGTTCAGTTTTCAACTTCGTTTTTTGCTTGTGTGGGCATGTGGATTATTCAAATTTTAAGGATTGGTTAGTTTTTTATGTAGAAACTGACCTAAAGCCAAACGATAAAATATGAAGTTTCGTTAATTTGCTGCTTAAGACGCTTTGCTGAACTCTGTAAAACAGCTCGAAAGGGTTTTTTTGCAGTCTACGATTGCAGTGATAGAAATTATAGGAATTATCTATTGAATAACTAATTGTTTCTTAACCGGGATAATCTATATTCATAATTTAAAAAATAAAGAAATGCCTTTAAAAGTTTTTAGTTCGAACCAGTTCTTCTCCCGTTTCCCAAGTTAGAGGGAAATACTCAGAAATTGTTCGAATATCAATATTTATATAGGAGGATCGGGGTTCGATTCGCAGGCGATAGTTTTGATTGTATATATTTTGGCTTCTATATGTTCAACTCACCTATAATCAGCACTGGCATAGCAGTCGCCGAGGAAACGACACTGTAGTGTATTGCACTGAGTGGTCTTCACCTCGTGCTGCACCTCGTAGGTAATATTGAAGCCATAGACGTCTAGCAGGCGGTCCAGAGCGCGCAGATGTGTACCATCCAGCGTGGCCATGGTGAATCGTATTTCCAGGTACTGGCTGTTGAACTGCATCCATGTGACCTGGGTCACATCCTCCTCGGTTAAGGCGAAGACACGGTGGGCGGGCACCTGAAGTCGTCCGAGTAGTACATATACTCGGTGAATTTGAGGCCGCCCAGCACGTAGAGCTGCGTTAGATAAACCACGATGGACACATTGCCCTGAGCGGTGGCTGGCAACTCGGACGCATCAATTATCCAAACGCATTCGATGGCGTGGTAAAACGATGTGGGAAATTTGGCGTTTGAATGAGGCCATAGCGTGACTTGAGTAGGCCCCCACATCCCGGCGAGGACGAAGAGGAGCTGGAACTATAGCCAAGGCCGGAGCCGGAGCCGGAGCCAGTGCCGCCTGCTGCCTGCTCCCCAATGGCAAATGCATTCAGTGCAAAGTTATGCTTGGCCGCCGGGAAAGGTGGCGGAGGTGGCAGAGGCACCGCGGGCAGCGAAAACTTCTGATCCGGGTTGTTTTGACGTTTGTGGCGCACATGTTGCAGCTGCTGTTGTTGTTGCTGTTGTTGTTGTTGATTTGTTAGCAATGTTGCCGCTGGAAGCAGCATAAACAGCAGCAATGTCGTTGATAACCTGACGGTTGTCAGCAGCGACATTGACTTGGCTTTTATTATCTATTCGCTTATTCTGTTACTCTATTTCAACTGGATCTCCTTCAGCTGGGCGTCTCCTGTTGCTGTCGTCTTATCATTTGCCCAACGATATGCATGAAACACGGTCAGTTGTCGCAGTTGTTGCTCCAACCCAGCCACTCATTGCCTGCTGGCCCACTGCAAGTGAGAAAAAGAGAGAAGTGTGTGAAATTTTTAGCAGAAACCATTTTGACAGCTGTCGTTTGCATTTGAATAACTGCCGCCGTCGCTTTATCCAATCCCACGCGTTCCGACTGACCCCTGCACGCCCACATGTCGGCTTGCACGAGAACTAGAAAATCGTAAAACTGTCAGCGTGAAAAAGCAATTTCGAAATCCACTAAAAACGGAGCGCAACGCCACGCATCAATCATGGCCGCCGTGAAGCGGGCCTGCTCATAAAACAAAGGCCCCAAATACTCGGCACTCGAGCGCTTTTCTTTGTCAACTTTCAAATTGTTTTCCCATATTTTGTTGGCACTTGTTTTCATTTCGGTAGCCGCTCCGATGCTCAAGGCTCACTCGTCGCACATTTGTTGACGCTCCTGCATCTGTCTGCGGGGCATTCCCAGCGCCAAATTGCGAAAGCTCTTCAACTGGTTGACTTTGGTAGTTTTCGTGGGTATTAGTGGCAGATTTGCCTTTGAAAAACGCAAGCTCCCACTGCATGAGCGAAGGCCCAAAAGCCAAAATCATATGCATAGATATGGGAGAATTGCGTTGGAATATGTATTGAGAGAACTCTCAAGTTTTAACACTCAAATTTAATTCAAAACTTAAAGAATATCAGACTCAGAACAAGCTTACCAATAAGCAATTCATTGACAATATTCAAAATGATTAATTAAAGCAATTTTAAAGTTGGCTTCAAATAACCAATTGCTCGGTTGTCAAAAAATAATCTCGTTTATACTATCTAATAGCTTATATTATTTATTTTTATTAGGTAATGACTATAATGAATCAAACTATTAAGGTAAACGAAATGTTAATTGCCAACAACATTGCAAAGATTTCACAGTCATTAAACACACACACACACACACACACACACACACACACATGTATGCTCTACAAAAAGACCATCTAAAAGACATTAAACACATCAAATGTAATTAGCATAATAATTAAAAGCAATGCTAGCTGGCATCAGCAAGCAGGACTAATCACATTCAAAATAGATTTGCTGATGTTATGAATAACTGCATTATAGCCTATTTACAGCAAATAGTAAACAAATACATATACTAGCTACAACAACAAAATGCACACAAATTGGTAAAGCCAAAACAAATTATAAATTACCAAAATGCCAGCCGCAAATACCATGTGGCTCAAATGTCATACAAAAGCAATGTGAGCGTTTGATCCATAAATTATTGACAGTCTCGAGCCATGCCGTTTGCCACGCAAACACTGAGAGTTGGGCGATAAATGGGATTGTGGGCGGCTCTGAACATACATTCGAACATGTTTGCTTACACACACAAACACAATGCGTCGCTCGCTGCAGGACTATTTTTTCGGCTTTGCATCAATTCTTGACACATATCTTTGAATCAATATTAATTTCTGTTCGTCTTTTTTTTTCACTTCAAGTATTTGTTTATTATTTTAAGACCAGAACTTAAGCTGTTTTTGCAAAGCTGTTTAATTTAATTCCAGTTTTTGTAAATTAGTTAATGGAGGAGATAACTACTTCTTAATATATTGTAGTAGCATAAATGCATGCAAAGTCATTTGGTCAGCAGTTCCACTTTATTGCAACATTGCTCAATTATATTCCTAAATTTCTCTTTTACTTAAATTCTTTTAAGAAGAGCCCGACAAATCCGATTACTTCCTGTCTCGCCCACTTATGCACAAACACCTTTCACATTTCCTTTAGTCTGTAAGCATAAAATGAACGCGGACTCAGGTGCGATCGAACATCAGAACAAAAAACCCGCAACAAAACTATTTTGTGTTTAAATTTGCATGTGAGATTTGTCTTCTACAATATAATAAACCCTTAAAAGAGAGTTTCAAAAGAAAAACAACTATGCCGTTAGGTTGATCAACAACAATATTTTCGTAGATGCAATTTTCATTAACGCTGCCTTTTGGATTGAAAAGGAACAACAAAACGGAATTCTGTTAAATTCAACCTCAGTTGGCAAAAACCAACAAAGTGAAGTCATGAACATGCCTGACCAATCATTGCCCGTATCTGAGCGTCTTACTGTCAAGCGAGAGGTCACCGGCTCAACTTTAGTTGGTATTTGTTCGCTTATTTCAACTACATATTTTAGATATACAATTATTTAAAAGTCCTCAATTAGCCACAACTCTAAATGTGCGAAAGGGTTATTCGTGGTGAATATTTAAATGACATTCCATGTAATCGCATACAAATAAAGTTAGTATCTGATTGCCTGTTGCAAACGTAAAATATTTGTTTTGCGGAGAGGTAAAAAAACATAAGCTGTATAATGCGCATGATATGGACATAGTTCTTTATTTTGCTTTTCTGTCTGTCAAACTGTCCGTCGTTCCGTCTGTTTTATAGAAACGTAGAAACGCAATTTCCTTCGGATTGTTATATATATATAATTAAGTTTTACACGTTAGGTTACTATAAAAAAATATATTTCAATTTATTATTTTCACTTAACGGCTACTTTTGTTGAGTACATTCAGATTTGCTTCCCGAATATGAACTGATTTATCTAACTGTTGCGGTCGCTTAGCAAAACTTCGCTTTGAGAGAGTTTGAGTCAAAATTGAGTGAAGTTTGAGCTGCGTCAGCAATTATGCGTGGGATAGTACTCTGATGGGAACATTGACAGTGGCGTGATATTTAGGGTGAATTGTTTATGTCTACCAAAGGGGGACAGTTTGATCTTGACCAATGTCGATGTTATCACCAGGCTCTTTGTTTACAATATTAGAAATGTTTATAATTGTGCTTATGCTTATGCGCCAAGTTATGTTAAAGGGTGGGTGCGACTATGGATATGTCCACTCCCCCAACCATTAGAAAAGTGCCTGTCCTCAGGTGTTTAAGTTTGGATATAGTGTAACATTTTCTTCTTTTACAATTGGTATATCTCCTATTATTGTAGGTGTTTCTTCTACTTTGGGTTTTTTATATTTTATAATTAATTTCTTAGGTATGCTTTTGAACTTATATGTCAAATACAGTGTTAAACTTATTAATATGATTACAAATATGGTTATTGTAATTATCTGGAATACATTGTTAAATTTTGTATGTGCATTTATAATTTGTTTCGTTTTTTGTTGAGATTATTTATTAGTTTTTCTTTATTAGCTTGAGTGTCATACTCTGGTGTACCTGCATATATGAATATGTCCGCTGGTGTTCTGTTAGTCGTTTTGTGCTTTGTTTTATGATTGTACGTGTAGAGTATAGTTTCAAATTTTGTAAGTTTATTTTCGACGTCTGAGTCGCTGTTAATGATTCTTAGTTTTTCGTTAACTGTCTTATGAAATCGTTCTACGTCGGATATACCATTTTTACTAGTGGTTATATTAATATTTACTGCTTCTGATTTTAGCCATAATTGTAAAGCTGTGCACATAAAAGCTGAGTCTTTGTCTGCCTTTATTTCGATGGGTTTACCCATTTGGTTGAACACTTGTAATATAGCTCGTTTGGTTTCTAGCCAGTCTCTACTTTTTATTTCTATTAATGATGCAAATTTTGAATAGATATCAATGCAAGATAAAAATTGTTTATCTCCTACTATGTAAAAATCCATTACATATTTTTCTCGGATATTAGCGATTTCCGGAGTTATTTCGAAAGTTAATTTTGTATCTCTGTGTTCTGTTTTTGCGATGTTGCAAATCTCACATTCATTTATTAGATTTTGAATTAAATTTTGATAATCTGGGAAATAGTGGGTTTCTTTGAACCAATTGATAGTTTTTTCAATTCCTGGATGTAATAATTCTTTGTGCTTTTTTAATATTAATTCTTTGAATTCTGCATATGTTTGAAGGTCTATTAATTTTGTACTAGTTTTCATTGCCTTTGTTGAATTATTCGGACTTATTATTTCTAAGTAGGCTTCTTGAAAAATTGGAAAATCTGCTTCGTTGTGGAAGTATAGCACACTTTTCTTTGTGCATAAGTATTCTTTTATTAATTCTTTGGCATGCGTATTAGTCATGTCTTTGTACGTAATTTTTATGTTGGTTTTGTGAAAGTAATTCGTAACTTTTGTTTCGTTCTCGGTTCCTTTTTCAAATTCTATTTGTCGATTATAATAATTAAGTGGTCTTTCTGTGATTTGTAAATGGTTACTGTTGTCTTCTTGAGCACTATGTATTGTTGCTCTTGTGCTAATTGTATCTTCGCCTAAGAAGTTTTCGTTTAATTGAATTCTGGACAGAGCATCTGCCACATAATTTTCTTTTCCTGGGACGTATTTAATTTGGAAATCAAACTCATTTAGCTTGATCTTCCACCTTTGTAATTTCATGTTAGGTTCTTTCATATTATTTAACCAGACGAGTGGTCTGTGATCACTAAGGATTTGAAATTGTCGACCAAAGAGATAGGACCTAAAGTATTTAGTGGCCCAAACGATTGCTAATAATTCTTTTTCAATCGTTGAATAATTTAACTCATGCTCGTTGAGAGTTCTACTTGCATAGCATATAGGCTTATGCTCTTGCGAAAGGACGGCCCCTATTGCCATATTACTCGCGTCTGTAGTTAATGAAAATGGTTTTTCGAAGTTAGGGTATATTAAAATTGGGTCGGATGTTATGAGTACTTTTAGCTTTTCAAACGCTAGTTCGTAGTCTCTGTCTTTTATATTGATTTTTGCTCCCTTTTTTAATTTAAGTGTTAATGGTTTTACTATATTAGCGAAATTTGGTATAAATTTCCTATAGAAACCACATAATCCTAGAAATGATTTAATTTCTTTTGGGGTTTTTGGAATTGGGAATTTGACAATTGCTTGTATCTTGTTGGGATTTGGTTTTATACCCTCAGTTGTGATGATGTGACCGAGAAATTCAGTTTCTTTTCTCATAAACTCGCATTTATCCAACTGTAGTTTTAAGTTAGCTTCTCTAAGCTTCTTAAATACCTTTTGTAGCGACAAAATGTGTTCCTCCAATGAAGTGGAAAAAATAATAATGTCGTCTAAGTAGACCAGACAATCCTTAAAAATTAAATCTTCTAAGAGATTGTTCATACAACGTTGGAACGTTGCAGGTGCATTCTTAAGACCAAATGGCATGCGAGTGTACTCGTAATGGCCATGTTTAGTCGAAAATGCGGTCTTGGGTATTGAACCAGGATCCATTTGGATTTGGTGGAAGCCTTTGGCTAGATCAATGGTTGTGAAATATTGACATTTTCCAAGTTTGTCTAATATTTCATCCATGATCGGGATAGGGTATTTATCATTAATAGTTAGTTCATTGAGATTGCGGTAATCTATGACTAACCGGAACTTTTGCTTTCCAGATGCATCGTTTTTCTTTGGAACGATTATTACTGGTGAGCAGTAAGGGGATTTGGATTTACGTATGATATTTTGTTTTATCATATCGCTTATTTGTTTATTTACTTCCTCATCGTATATTTGAGGATATTTGTATGGACGCTTGTAAATTGGGTCCTCATGTTTTGTTAGAATTTTGTGTTTAATTGTACTAGTGAAAGTCAAATTGTCACCTTCATGGTACTGGATATCACGAAATTCATGTAAAACTTTTTTTATTTTTTCTTTTTCTTCTGAGTTTAGGTGCTCTAGCCTAAACTCATTGTTTTCTATTAATTCATTATTAATAGCGAAGTTAAATGGTCTGTCCTCTGTTGAGGGTGGATCAAGGCACTCTTGTGCGGTCATGTCCTCTTCGACCTCTTCGTCGTTATATCTAAAACAAAAGTTAAATTCTCCTAAGGTTACGGATCCTTGTGCATAGTCTATTTTTGCTTGACATGCCTCAAGGTATTCTCTCCCAATCAGAACATCATAATGCTCTGAGAAGTCGTGAATATAGAATTTTTGTTTGCTCGGACAAATTTTGCTTGCTCCTAATCGTATACTTTGTTTTAATTCAATAACACCATTTATGGTGTGAACCTTTAATGTTTCGTTGTAAACTGGAAAATTTAAGCGGTTTGTTTTCATTAGATTTATGGTTGAACCTGTGTCGATGACACATTTTAGAACTTCGTCATTCATAATCAATTTTATGAATGGATTTCTTCTGTTTGTTCCGAGGCTTGCTGATGAAAATTTTCGGATGTATCCATTTTCATCTGCCCACTGTTACTATCTCTTTGACGTTTAGTCGGAGGGTTTGGTGCATTCAAGCGTGAATGGGACTGATTTTGGTAGTTTAAGGGATTTTGGTATCTACCTTGACTTAATTTCTGTTGGAACTCGTGGTGAGCTTTCTGATTGTCTTCGGACTTATTATGCTGTTTATTTTGTGCGTGATAACTCTGATTCGTGTTGGAATAGCCACTTGAAATGGTGGTTGGGTTAGCATTTTGCTGATAATTTCCCATGTTCCTACGATTGTTATTTGGATTTCCCTGAACATTATTATTTTTAGGTTTTTCAGTAACGCTATTTTCATATAATCCCTCTCTTTGAGCTACTTGCTTTAGTTTTTGTGTCGACGTAATGTCGTGTCTGGCTAACATCATGAAAAGCCTATCTGGTAATTTTTTTGTAATAACATCTTTGATTGTGTTATTCATAGCATTTGTATAAAGGGTTGTATTGCTAGGTATATTTTCTAGTGCTAACTTATTTAATATAACAAAAGATTTATTCTCGAGCTCCTCGATGAACTTACGGACGTTTCCTTGGTAATTCGTGTTGTATAAGCGTCGAAGGAGTTCTTCAAATGGTGTCTGCACTTTGTATTCTTCAATTAATGCGTTTCTCAGCTCCTGCCAAGTGTTGGCTGCTGTCCTTTGTGATATTCTCTGAGCATCTCCTGTGACTTGCAATTCGATGGCTCCGTATAAGATGCTATGTTGTCTAACATCTCGGGTTGGATACAGGTGTAGGATGTAATCTATCCTTTTAATGAAGGCGTTTAGTTGATCCGTTGATCCGTCAAAGCTTGGCACCTGTCTAAGTTGTGAAAGGGCCTGGTTGAGGTGTTGTTCTGATAATTCCATTGTCATCTTGGTGTAATACACTTTTTTTTTGAATAGTTTTGAGTTTGTAGGTTTGAACTTTATTGTTCTTTGATTTTGCACTTTTATTTTAGGTTAAAGTTTGTGATGGATTATTGGTTAAATGTTTCTTTTTTTTTTTTTTTGTGTGTGTGTCTTAAAAAGACTCAGTAATAACGTATTGCAGGGATCAAACGATATGCAAATCCAGTCGTTATTAACTGTAGTAGCTTTATTGCCCAAAGGGTCAATATTATTAAGCTACTAGTGACCCGAAGGTTCTTGTGCGGATACGTATTCGAGAAAATTTTTATTACACTCCGACAACACTTTCGGTCGCGATTGTGCGTTAGATCTGGGAATTAATTATCCTTTAGCGATCTTAACTTTTTCCCGACGTATCCTACCGGCTGCGCCAATTAAGTTTTACACGTTAGGTTACTATAAAAAAATATATTTCAATTTATTATTTTCACTTAACGGCTACTTTTGTTGAGTACATTCAGATTTGCTTCCCGAATATGAACTGATTTATCTAACTGTTGCGGTCGCTTAGCAAACTTCGCTTTGAGAGAGTTTGAGTCAAAATTGAGTGAAGTTTGAGCTGCGTCAGCAATTATGCGTGGGATAGTACTCTGATGGGAACATTGACAGTGGCGTGATATTTAGGGTGAATTGTTTATGTCTACCAAAGGGGGACAGTTTGATCTTGACCAATGTCGATGTTATCACCAGGCTCTTTGTTTACAATATTAGAAATGTTTATAATTGTGCTTATGCTTATGCGCCAAGTTATGTTAAAGGGTGGGTGCGACTATGGATATGTCACTATATATATGCTTAGCTCTCACTTTCCTTCTAGTCTCACTAGTGAAAACTGGCTCTGAAGTGGGTGAAGCAAATAAAAACACCTGCACGAAATATCTTCTTTTTTTTTTTGGGAACTTGTGTCTAAATCTTACATGTCTCTTTAAGTCAGGCCTGAACTTATTTCGCACGCATCACATTTAACTTAAAGGCTACGGCAAAGGTGTCTAAACTTTGTTGCCGCTGATGGTGCTGCTGATGGTGATGCTGCTGCTGATGCTGCTGCTGCTGATGCTCTGCGTGCGCTAACAAGTTTAATCAAATGACAATGTCGTAACACGTGCATACATTTGGGCGCCCTAAAGGCATAGCTGCCGTTGCTTGACTAAGACAAGTCTTAGCTGACAGCCCTGACACATGTGAGCACGCAAAGTCATAGGCCTTTAAGCGCCAGCCTCTGCCCACGCCTCGTGCTTTTGCATAGCTCCCCTCCAGCTCTGCTCTCTGCGTGCGTGAGAGTGCGCGACTTTTACTTTCAAATTACATTAGTTACGCATTTTAAGCATAATGAATAATTTTTTGGAGCTTGGCATGCGAATATCGTGCCTGTAAAAAGTTCATTTACTTGCCCCGTCATATATTAGATCTCAAGAGGGCTTTATAGAGTTATTGCCCTAGATGATGGCACTCTTATTAGAGCTCTGTATAAACTACACCATTGTGAAATATTTGATGAAGGTATCAAAAAAATGTGTATATATGACTTATGTATGTATCTCGAATTCAGAATTAGTTTTCTGATTTGAATGACTTTCTTTCAGAAAAGCATGCAACTAAAAAAAGCCATCTGATGCTCTGTAGTAAGAACGAACTGCTAAGGACTTGCATACTTTTAGGCCGTCCCATGCAAACCTATCGATAACTAAGATATTTTATACCTTTGCAGAGGGGATTACGTGCTTACGACCTTTTAAGTGCACTACGATATAATAAATCTTTTAAGTTCTGCTCAAGGATATGCCCGACCAAAATTAAGATTTTAGTTATAGTCTTCTTATCCTGCAGTTACGGCTCAAGAAACTATTGCAAGAATCTTGAAAAATAAGCAAAAAGCCTTTTGGATAATCAAGAAAAAGGCATTCATCATCATTAAGCATCTGCCTGCTGGATTTCCCAAGGAAAAGATAAATGCCACATTAGCTAAAAATATGGGCTCCCTAACACTTTCGGTCTACAAAATACGTTGTTCACCATTAAATCAGTTGGGGCCAAACAGTTTAATATAGATCGAGTTATGTATGCATCTATATGCATTCTCTCTGAAGAGCTATTGTATTGGGCGTGCTAATCTCTCTGCAATCTCAATTTTCCAGTAAATAGAATTATTAATATAAGTGAGGAAAAAAAGTAAAAGAAAAATATGAAATTCACGTCAAAACAATGACGCGCTGCCCTGCACCTGTCCGTTGATAACGGGGCGGGCGTTCAGCGTTTTGCTCGACGGGCACTTCAACCTCAACTCAGATACCGATAAAGAGCCCCAGGGCCCAGCCAGTTGTTGCTGGTGCCGCTGCCGTCGACGCGTCGAGCAAATTGCCAATTTAAATTGGCCGCGTTAAATTAGTCGAGTTATCAGCCTCCACGGCGGCAGGTGTACGGGTAGTGAGTGCTGCGGATCGAGCTTTAGTTGTTATTGTATTATTGTTGATATTTATGCAATATATAATAGTTGTGACTTTTTTAAGAAATGAAGCGGAAATTGTAACGTGCCCAATTGAGCTATTTCAATAATATACCTAAATTCTAAAATCTTAACGGAAATGTTTGCACCGGGGGCTGCGGCTTGTGGTTAGAGCATGAGCGGCTGGCGTGTCCGTTTCGAGTGGTTTGTTGAAAAGTGAATGAAACAAATTCGACAAGAAACAAATAAAAAAAACGAGTGTGAATGTGAATGTGAACAACGAGTACCCAAACGCACACTTATCGGTGTCCATGAAATTATAGAGCAAATTCGATAAGAAGTTGTTTCTTATGCCCACGGCGCACACAGTCACTGCTAGAACTCTGATCTGTGCTGTCAAATGTTTTGTTTTATTCCATTTACCTAACAAATAGAACAGCCTACGAATCAATCACATTGTGCCTGATATGGATATCTAATCAAAAGAAATAAGTTTCAGTTGCTTCTATTTTTTTTTTGTTTTTGCTTTCATAATTTCCTCACTTAATCTGTTTAAAACATCGAAATATTTCAATTTAACTAATAAGAGTCTTGTATTATGAGACATTCGGATGTTTTGTAAAAAAAGCGCTGTAAAACTTAAAGAAACCCGACAATAGAGAGCAGCAGAAAAAAAAATAAATACAAAAAAATATTCCGCTGATAACTGCAAAACGAAATATCAATAAAACAATATAAATGACGGACTCGTGACTCTTGTGAATCGCTTGTCGATGTTGTTATTGGTGGCAAGAAAAGTGAAATACAAATGATTGTTAAGAGACAACAAAAAAAAAAAAAAAAAATTATAAGTTATGCTATTCTTTTGCCGTTTTCGATTTGCAATATACAATTGTTGTGTTCTCCCGCTGTTATCTATACAGATGTCGTGTAATACCAAACTGATATCATCTATAAGTAGCAAGATGTATGCAGAACGGTATTGTTGGTTAGATAATTGGAGCTGTCCGCGTCAGCAATTTTGGTCAAGTCGGCCGCCAGTTTCGATTGTGCCTTTGATTTGAAACCTTTTGCTGTGCTGATAAGATACAAGGAATAGCCCAGTTTAATTCACGGCTAAAAACTAAAGGGCCAAGCGGCCTTTTCATCTACCCCAAAGCTATTGGCCAAACAATGAAATCCCCCGCATAAATAGAAAACAATTAGCCGTTTCAAACGATAAGAGATGTACGATGAAAATAAAAAACAAAAATCCAATTCTTCAGTGACTCATAACCGCCTGGAGCGGAATTGGCGAGTCGAAACATGGCAAAGCGTGGCAATGGGCTCCGGGCTCTGACTAATTAGCTCATTCATTTGGCGATGCGTGAAATTTATGAACTTTACAACATTTGCTAAAAGTGGAAATATATCTGATGTAAAGCGAATTTTCGTTTTAGTTTTGTGCAAGCGCTCAAAAAACCTAATCAGCTGCTTTGGCCGATATATTGAAGGGTTTTTTTAGTAAACTATTTGCTATTTAAATATATTTTTTGATAAAACAGTTTAATTACTTATTGAATTTGACAATTATATTAATAATAAATACAAAACGTTCGATTTTTGAGTCTTTTTTAACTGAACTTACGTTCCAACAGCGGCAAGGCATAAAAGCAAAGACTGTCAGTCATGTTTCAATAATCATCAGATTCTATATTGTTGTTGTCTTGTCACTCGTTCAAAGAACTTATGGAGAAACCAGGCATAACCAAGCCTTTTCCACAAATCCTTGAACAGGAAAACAAAGAACCCGTAACCAATGGACTGGATTGCAATGCCATAGAAGGAATGTATTTCTTAACTTAAATCAGCCTTTCCACGCCTTCAGAATGAAATTAAAACCTTGAAAATAAGCACATAAATACAAAAAATTGAAAGTTATTTAATGAATAGAAAAAAAAACAACATAAAATTTTATAGCGATTGCAGTTCGCACAGCCAAGAGTTGAATTTAATTAATATGTGCCACAAAAAGTAATACGATTAAAGAAAATATAATAAAAAAAAAAAAAAAAACAAATCAAAGCGCAGAAAGAGAAACAATATTTATTTACATGTTTCAGCCGTAAAAGCGCAACAAATCAAATAGACCGCCATAAATCTAATCAATTTAAAAAGAAATATATCTCTTTTTGGGGCTGGCGCTGCTGTTGATAACGCGTCAAGTGCTCGACGGCAGTGCAGTGCGCGAAAATCCGAGTACATATTCAAATCGAGTCACTGATTCGAATTGAGGTCTAAAAAATAATCGAAATATCGCGAATTACAACAATTGCAGCCGAGCGCAACAAATTTACAGCGGCAATTAAGTGCGCGGCCATAAATCAAAAATCCGGCAACAGTTATCAAAAGAGGGTTAAAGCACCGTTAACCACTCGGCTCAGTTTTATTTGCAGGCACCAATCACAATAACAATAAATACAAAAATACCAATAATAACAATAGCAATAGCAACAAAAGATGTTCGATAAATATGCTAAAATAGTAGCTGACAACTAACCAACCACAGCAAGCGGCAAACGGTAAACGGCAAACGGCAAACAGCAGCAGGCAGCAGGCAGCAAATAAACAATAACAATCCCCTTTACCCCCACCATTCACTATTTAACAACCCGGCGTGTGAGGCTCCCCACCCAGGTGACCCCTGCCATACAAGAGCAGCAGCAGCACCCGCTCTCCCCCGCAAACATGGCCTGCTTTCCGCGTCTCTTCCATCATCGCAGTAAAAACAAATTTACGCCCGCTCAAGATGAGAACACCGACACGATACTCAACACACAAGATAGCCCCGTGGTGAGTTTCTGCAACTGAGAGAGCAGTGTACACACGCATACACATACGCATGAGTACATGTGCTGGCCGATAAGCGGCACTGATAAGTTGATTAAGTGTTTAATTAAGTTATGGGGCGGGGGTAACTGGCCAACGCTATAACTAAGCGTTACAGTTAACCAAATACTAAAGCTGACTAAAAATAAAAAAAAACAAAAAAAAACACGTGTGTAGCCAAAAACTTGTTATCCTTATCAACGACTTTGGGGAATGTGACGTTCACTTTTCACATGCCTTATCATAATAACAAAATAGAAAGAGCTTTCGTACAAGCACCGAAGTTCTTATACACTCACTGAACTGATTTAGCACAAAAAAATGTTATATTTTATCATCTTTATTATTTACAAATTTAAAAGTTTATCTTTTACAAAATTGATTAGAAAGTCTTTGTTAAGTTATATGCATCTTTTATAAGCAAACTATGTTATAGCCATTTTCAAGCTTTAACTGTCGAGTTTATCAAATGAAATAATTAAGCATAACTATCTAAACGGGGCAATACGTAAAATCATAGCACATTATGTTCCCTTATCTATTTGTCATTGAAATCCCAATAGTTAGTAGCAATATTTATCAATTGCCAACGCTAAACTCGTATCTATCACACTCATAAGCATATAAGTACATATTAATGATATATATTATGTTACTAAAGTTGATGGCTTAGTTTTGGCTTCTGATAATAGTAGGTCTTATGTGGCCATATGCTCGGAGTTAAAAGGCAGTGCCTGAGATAGTGTTTAATTGTAAAGGACCTAAGCTCTCATAAATATTTGATCGCCAAGTATTTGACGTATCAGGTTGTGATTTTCATTCACTTTGAACTGGATTTCCCATTCGAAATTGGTTTAACCAAATTACCCAGGCCCATAACAATATCTTTGTGCAAACCGGAACGGCGCCTCCACCTCGCTGTCAGCCGGTACCCAGCAATGCTCGACTTGGCAACCGCAACAGCACGGCACTGTCAGCACAACGACAGCAACAACCACCACAACCACAGCGTCATCCAGCAGCGGCTGCAGGACATCTGCCTCAACAGGCACAAGCCGCGCCGCTTTAGAGCCCATCGGGACCCGCCCCAAAGCCGCCAATCCGACCTTGCAGTCCACCCCTTATGGCACCCAGGCAGCTGGTTCTTGTGTCACAAACCCCCCTCTGCCTCCCATAAAGAACGCAGGTGCTACGCTAGCCTTCGAAGAGCCACTGGTAGATTGGCAAACGGTTTCCGCAAAAAAACGGCGTGGGACTACATTATTATCCGAAGGCGTAAAAAAAGGGAAGCAACTAAATAACCGCAACACCAGCCGCGCTGGAGCTAAGCCCGCAACTCCCAGTACCGCTTCGGCAATTAGCAACAGATATGCCTCCCTTGAGCCTCAGGAAGACGCCTCTGTAATCGATGACGGCGAGATGGACACTGCCGACGAAGCGCCTCCAGTCACAGACCAACAACAATCAGCGAAAAAGATCTCCAAACCCAGGCCGATAACAGTCCCTGGAGTCAGCGATATTGTCGCAATGGAGCGAACCATAGATCAGGCAGTGGGCGCAGACGCCTATGAATTCAAGGTCTCTCCCTCTGGCTATCTAAGAATTTACGCCAAAGATGCCGACACCCACAGAGCAATTGTCCGCAAGCTCACTGAAGTGAGAGTGCAATTTACCCACTTCTGCCTAAAGGAAGACAGACCATACCGCGTTGTGGTTAAAAATCTGGCCGCTTCCACTCCCAGAAGCCAGATTGAAGCTGCCTTTACATCGCACGGCCATATTGTGACGAACCTTTACAACCCGGGCGCCAGACAGCCAACAAGTGATGCAGACTCCACCAACGACTTTCCAAGTCGCAACTTCTGGTTTGTCGATCTCAAGCAGTCTCTTAACAACAGGGAAGCGCTGCGGCTCAACAAGGTTGGCCGCCAACGGGTCACTATTGAGCTTCCGAGGAAGAACAATAGTATAAGGCAGTGTTTCCGCTGCTTCGAGTTCGACCACACCAAAAACTACTGTCTCAAACAGCCCAAGTGTGGTAGGTGCGGTCAGTCCCATTGGACAAACTCCGAGCAGTGCCAGGCCAAAACAGTGGCAGACCTGCGATGCTCCAACTGCGAGGGAAACCATGCTGCTTCCTATAAAGGATGCAAAAGCTATCAGGTGAGACTAAATGCCAGGCAGCCGGCCATCAATGTCTCCCCTCCTACACGATATAGCCATCCTCAAAATACACGAAGAACCACTCAGCAGTTCGTACCTTCCCGAATTGTGCAACAGGGCCTGTCGTATGCTGATGCGCTACGGCCAGGCCATCATGTACAAGTCCGCCAACCCCCAGCGCGCACTCTTCAGCCCACCGTCAATCCAATGCAGCTCCAACAACCACTGCAAGGACCTCAGGAGCAAGACGCTTCCCTTGGAGGCATCCTTCAAAACCTCCAGCAGTCCATTGCAGCACTGAATGCCGCAGTTGCAACCATTCTGGTTAGCATTAAAGAGCTAAAGGATGCGCAAGGTTCCCCGCAGCTTAGATTCCCAAAAAGCCGCAAATAATGGCTACCCAGTTACGTCTCGGATCGTGGAACGCTCGTGGCATCCTCCAAAATGCTAACGAGCTCAAGCTTTTTCTGAAAAAGCATGATGTAGACATCATGCTCATCTCAGAAACACATCTGCACACAAACTTGTACCTAACAATGGAGGGGTACGTCTGCTACCGTGCGGATCACCCTACAGGACGAGCCAGAGGTGGTGCTGTAGTGCTGGCAAAGCAGGATTTAGCACACTACCATCTACACACAGTGACCTCCAGCGACACACAGCTGGCTGCTATCATGGTGGAGACTCCCTTGGGCGAAATCCTCGTTGCGGCAGCATACCTACCACCAAACATCCCCTGGAACCGAGCGGAATTTGATTCCCTGTTTGGCCAGCTTGGCCCCAAATTCATCGTTGGAGGCGACTTCAACGCTAAGCACAGACTGTGGGGAAACTACAGAGCTGACAGCAGAGGCACTGCGCTCCATGAGGCGCTCACTCCCTGCTCAGCCCAGGTACTGGCCACCGGTAGACCTACCCACTTTCCGTACAACCGGCAAAGTACGCCTTCCTGTATCGACTTTTTTATATTCAAGGGCATCCCCAACAGCGTACTATCGGTTCGCGAAGAGTATGATCTATCTTCCGACCATCTGCCACTCCTCACAACGATCAACACGGCTGCACAAAGGATCCCAAAAAAGCGCAGGCTTGTCCTCCCTGGGTCGAACATCCAACGATTTAAGGCCGAACTAAATAGCTTGATCAACCTAAACACGCAGATTCTGTCAGTTGAGGACGTCGACGCTGCAGTACAAACCCTGTTGGACCAAGTACATGCCGCAGCCGCCAACGCTGCGCCCGCACATATCTACTCAGCCCCTACAAGCCAGCGGCCAAGGACGTTTTCCCCCATATTGGAAGGTCTTCTCGCCCTAAAAAAGCGACTGAGGAGGGAGTATGTCCGTACCCAGGACCCCACGATTGACAGGATCTATCGTCGTATTGCTAACAGGGTCAGGAAGGAGCTGATTATCTCGAAAAGAAATGCCACAGACACCATGCTGGAGGAAGCAACGGCAGACGAGAGCTCCAAATTCGCGCTGTGGAAACTTAGCAGTCGATACAAGCGGCAAGCTGCGCCAAAGTTCCCCGTTCGACTTCCCGATGACACCTGGGCCAGATCACCAATGGACAGAGCCGAAGCCTTTGCCTGCAACTTGGAGGAGCGCTTCAAGCCGTTTGAGACCGCATCGCATGGAAGGATACAGCGAGTCGCGCAAATCCTGGAGGCGCCACTCCAAATGTCACTCCCTGTATCGCCAATCACCTTCCAAGAAGTAGAGCAGGAGATGAAGAGATTAAAAAGCAGCAAAGCCCCTGGGGAAGATCGGTTGGACAACCAGACAATCAAGCTACTGCCATACAAGGCGGTGCTTTTTCTCGTCGCCATTTTTAATGCAGCTCTTCGGCTAGGTTACTTTCCAGTGGCTTGGAAGAAGGCACATATAATCATGTTGCACAAGAGCGGAAAGCCCCCTAATCAACTGGGATCCTATCGCCCCATCAGCCTCCTGCCTGCCTTTGGTAAGATTCTGGAAAGGTGCATCCTCAGAAGGGTCCTGGATACCCCGGAAATAAAACGCTTGATCCCGAAGTTCCAGTTTGGGTTTCGACTCAAACACGGTACCCCTGAGCAACTACATCGGGTCACAAATTATATTTTGGACGGCTTTCACAGGAAAGAGTATGTGGTGGCAGCATACCTCGACATCCAAGAAGCCTTCGACCGGGTGTGGCACGCAGGACTCCTCTCCAAGATAAAGGACAAATTGAATCCGCAGCTATTTAGCACCATTGCGAGCTTCCTAACTGAGAGAACCTTTCAAGTGGTGCAGGATGGAGTAGCCTCTCAAACCAAACGCATAAAAGCGGGCGTTCCACAAGGCAGCGTCTTGGGTCCCACGCTATATAGCCTGTTTACACATGACATGCCCACAGCAAATGCAAGCAGACGGAATGATCGGCAGGACCTTCTGGTGGCCACGTTTGCTGACGACACGGCAATCCTTGCAAAAAACAAATGTGTGTACGTGGCAACTGACCTCTTGCAGGAATACCTCAAGCGATTTGAAAACTGGGCTTGTAGATGGAACATCGCAGTGAACCCTGGAAAGTGCGCCACGGTTACCCACACTCTACGCAAGGACTCATGCCCCGGACTTTTTCTTCATGGTGAGCTTCTAGAGCAATATCGTCAACACAAGTACCTAGGTGTCACTCTCGACAGACGACTTACATTTAGTAAGCACGTCTCTGCAGTAACGAGCAACATCAAATCTAAGATAAGGCGAATGAGCTGGCTCCTCAACTCCAAAAACAAACTCTCGCTCCGAAACAAGGTCCTAATCTACAAGGTAATCCTTGCCCCAGTGTGGCGTTACGGGCTTCAAGTTTACGGTATAGCTGCAAAAACACACCTGAACAAAATTCGCATCATTCAGGCCAAAACCCTGCGCAAAATAACTGGAGCCGAATGGTATATTCGCACACGCGACATCGCCAAGGACCTCAAGGTTCCAATGGTGGGCGACGTAGTCAACAGGCAAGCAGCGAGCTACTCAACAAAGCTCCACAACCATCCAAACATCCTGGCGAGGAGCCTGCTAAGGAGGCGAAGAAGAAGGCGACTGAAGAGGACCTACCCAACCGACCTAATCGATCGTTATGTATAGGTGACAAGCTTCGTTAATTACACCAAAATATGTTTCTGTAATCTGTTAACCTAATTGTATAACTAATTGTAAAACCACAATCATCGCTAAGCTAAGTTATTATGTCACTCTGATAAAAGTTGCTAACATAGAGTAACAGGATACCAGATTTCTTAATAAACAAAATATAAAAAAAAAAAAAAAAAAAAAAAAAAAAAAAAAAATTGAAATTGCAATCGCAGCACTTGGTTTGGTTGAAACAAAAGCACACATTTAATATGCAAAAATATGATAAGCATGCACATGAATTATGTGTGGGAACGAAACTCATGCATAAATCGAACCCAAACATATAACAACCGGCAAATGGAACATAAATATGCACAGTTCGTAGGTGCGTAGCTATCGATGGAAGAAACATTGAGTGCCGTAGTGTACTGTACTAGATGCCTGCGGTTGCTGACGGGATGTGAACGTGCTAAGGATTGTCAGGATTGCACGCACATGCCAATATAAGCGTGGAGTTCAAAGTCAAAGTCGTCAAATAAACAACGCCCCAGAGGGAAATAAATGCATTGGATTTGACATCTTGAAGTGTTGCCAGCTAGCGCTGCGATAAATACAAAATAAAAAGAAAAAAAATGAAAATTATGCACCGTGTTTTTTGACAAATTTATGACTTCGTAACACTCTTTACTTTAATACAGGTGAGCAATACTTTGTAGGCAACGATTAGCAACAACAATCGGTATCGCATCAAAACATCCATCAGAATAATCGCTCCGGGCGGCTGCCCCCCCCTCAACATAGCGAGAGCATTTGCCAGCGATTCTTTTCTGGCGGTTTCCGTGGGAAAACGGAAAACCTGTCAAAATGTCGTCGTTTAAGGCTGATTAGCATATCAAAGTAGAGACAACCACGCGACCTGCATATTGACATGTGTTTATTTATGCGGCTTGTGGGCTGCCAAACGACAACAACAGCAACGATGCCACATTGTGGCCTCCCCAAAAGGTTTGAATATTTTATTGCCCGCATGCCTGGCTGCCAATTGAGCGATAAGACGCTCTGCTATTTTGCGGGTGACACCACAAGACCAGAGTTGGGAGTTCAAAAAATGCCTTTAAAGTCGAACGAGGCCGACATAAAAGTCACTAATCGCTGGCGCTACTTTGGCTCATTTAAAGTGCGATATCCTGTCCGCAGGGATTATAACAAAGAAATTTATATAACTACGATTATTGGCTAGTTCTGATATTAATTTACACCCACCAGATAGTGCTCACAATTATTAGTGCAACCAAATGGAATCAGAATTATTTTTACTAATTTCTCAATTTGCCTTTTGTAACATTTTTGTACATTAAATATTTTTCTTATATTTTATCAATAGTAAGCTTTGTATTTGTTTTAATTTATTTATTTTTTAGCTTGTCAGCGTTTCATTCTATCTTTACCAACAATATCTCCACAACAGAAAATTCATTGAGATTTTCATTGGAATTTCGCACTAACATAAGCTTGTTTCTATTTTAAACTTTTTTGTTTACAGTCATAAAACAAAGCTTTAATATACTCTTTGCTACTTCACATAAAAGCGTTTCTATCTTTATCAAGTGCACATATAAATATAAGCAAATAAAAATACTCAAATAATGTGAGCACGACATTTAAATAAAAGTCAACCCAACGAACTTTAAATACTCTTACCGAAAAACAACAATATAATCCAGCCGATCGCTATAAATATTCAAGTTATTAGCTCTGAAAATTGAAGAAAGCAACAAAGACTTTGAACTTGAAGACCTAAGCTATAGACTGCAGCTGTGTGAGTGTAACTTATTAAATGAGTGTATTCAAGAGATACTCGCATATTTAGATACCCCATCTATAGGTACACATGAGAAGAACATTTATTATTTATTTTAAACAATGTGCCCGTAAATAAAAGCGGACAAACAAAGGAATCGGCACAGATAAGGTTGTGGGCCGGGTTGGAGGCTATCAACATGGCAGTGGAAAAAAGTCAATATTAATGAGAATTGGATACTCTTTTATGGCACTCGTGACTAATTCGAAGACAAATGCGAATAGCTCGATTAGTTTTGGGTTGGCAAATTTAAAAGGAATTGCAAATTTAAATTTATGCCAAAAGCACTTTTAGTTTCATAAAACTGCAAGCCAAAATACACGCACACACACACACACACACAATCGCACACTCAATTAAAGTACATCAACCCGATAAACCTTTTCGAAATTCCTGAGCTGTCACATAATCAAAAGTGGGGAAAAGCCCCTCTGACTTTCGTGTCGTCAGCTGGCGGCGAGTTGGATTTAAACAAATGACAGTTTTTTATGCAATATAAAGAGCAAAGCTCGAAAGTATGAAAAATATTTGCCACAAGTATAATGCGTACACACAATGCAAATACAAATACGAATACAAACGCGACAATGTAGAAACATATTTATAAGGCGCAAATGCTACAAACGCCAACACAATGGCTGTTTGTTGTTGTTTATTGAGGCTCAATGGCGGGATAAACTGGCAACTGTTGCAGACATTTTAACTGCACGGCTCTTCGCATTTATCAGCCGTGTCAGCTACAGATTGATTTCAAAGCAAGGGACAGATACACCAGCACATCAACACACACACACACCCGCAGAGAGTCAAGCAAGCAGCCGGCATTATTTGCTTACTTTCACAGATTGTTTGGGAATTTCCTTTTTTAAATGATTTTTTTTTTTTGTTGTTGCCGATTTGTTGGCATTTTCTGAGTAGCAGTAGCAATTGTTGTTCCTTTCGCAGTTATATACATATTTTGTATTCTCTTTGTTAGCCGAGACCTGTTGACATTTGATGCGATTTGAGGTCCCGCAGTGAATAAAGCTAAATTATGTTGGACATAAATTTCAACAGCTGTCGAGCTTAAGTCCAGCTGCCAGCTAATGCTAAGAAACCTTTTTATCCTTACATTAAGTTTTAGCGTTTACTCTAAATGGTAGTTGAAATAATTTCAAAAATGCTGTGACACGAAATAATAGAACTATAACACTGGATAATAGAGGGAAAGGGTTTTTTTTTATTTTAAAAACTTTATTTATTCTTTCCATCTTATTATCAATACTCTTTGAGTATATAACTTAGTCTATTATCCATATATTTTAAAAACAAGCATTATTATGTTCGATGCTAATTGCAGTTATGAATCAGGTGTTAATATGACCACAATTCTCTTATCAACAATATTTGTAAAAGGAAATTTAATTGCTATATAAACTTATTTTAAGATTTGCGCAAACTATAGTCACATATACGAACATAAAAAATTATAAATTGTATTTTAACTCGTTCTAATGGCTTACATTTTCGTATTCATTTTCAGCAAATTGGTCTCTACATACGACGCGAGGAGAAACCACTTTACTCGCCCATAATTACGCCTAGTGCCAGTGAGGTGAGTGTCTTTTTTTAGCAGGTAAATCTGTTGCATAGCACTGCTCTCAGCACAAACTCACGGGTCCGGCGGCCATCCATCCAACCAATTCAAGCTATCCGACCGTTTTCTGCTTGTCTTTGGCAAACTCAATTAATATTTGCACACATGTTTCTTATACTTTCAAACGAAATGATGCTAACGACAACGACAACAACAACACAAAACACTTGTAAATATGTACACAACACAACAACAACACAAACAATACCCACGGACCCATTTGCACCCCGCACTTTTGTTTGTCTTTGTAAATGTTTGAACGTACGTCCACACCTGGTTTCCCACCGGGTCCTATTAGGCGCAACTGCAGCGCCTAAAACAACAGCCCTCCAGTTCCTCCGTCCAGCCGCTCCAGGCTGTAGCCGAAAATGTGGTCAGCCCTAGCATTACTGGCAACACTGCTGACAACAATGCCGACGACAGCATAGGAAGCCAGCACCAGGAGCAGCAGCAACAGCAGCATCCAAAGAAGTTTCGCTCGCACAAAAGCAGGCTTCAGGCAGAGGATAGAGAAAAGGAGAAGGAGAAGTTCTCGACAGTCAATGGAAGTGCAATTAATGTCACACGTACCAATTCAAAATTAAAACCCGTCAAAGAACGACGCCCCACCGCACTGCCTACCGAGGCGCCCAACGTGAATGGCGCCCAACGTGTGGCTGATGTGGATGCCGATAAGGAACTGGCAACGGGGGAGCTGGAGCAGGTTGCTGATGTTGTGGACGGAGAGTCAAAGCTCAAAGGGAATGCGAATGGCATAATTGATGAGAATGGTGACAATGAGGCTGTCAAAACTCCATCGACAGGAACGCCCTCGATATTCACACCAATACCAACACCGCCAGCAAAGGCAAATGTTAAATTTTTCATTGGTCATACACAGGAACTAAATGCCGAGCAGCCCTCAGATGACATTTTGTCCTGGCATAGTAATGATGCTAACAACAACAACAACAGCAACAGCAACAAGCTGACAAATGGAACATTACCAGGACATGCACATGGACAGCGGCTGGCCGAGTCAATGACGACGACAACGGCGACGTCGCCAAAGGTGCCCGCAAAGAGCTGCAGCAATGTGTCACTCAATTATCTTAGAAGGTCCAAAAGCACGATAGCCAGCACTGAGCCAGTGACCACCAGCCAGCGGAGGCGTGTGTCGACCATGCCCGACATTAACATACCAACACCACCACCCATGCCTCTAGAGCTCCTAAAGCCGGTAACACCGCTGCATTTGCGCAAGAAGCGAAGTGCAGAGCGTCAAGCTTCTCAGGACTCACTTCCAGTAGCCGCCCCCGATGCTTCAGCCAGCCAAGTATGTAACAAACCAGTTTAGCCCGGCGAAAAGGTCATCTGAATTTTGTGGCCAGTTGCCAACAGTTTGTGTAATTTTTCGAGCAGTCTGTTAGCTTAAAGCTTAGGATATACCCAGGTCTCTGATGGATAGGAAATATATTGGAGCACAGAACTAGAATTTAGTAGGTGGATATATTGTGAAGCTCTCGCTATCGAATAATATATTTCACACAGTTTCAGTCATAGTTTGAAAGTCAATTTCGTTAAATTACAGTTTGCGAGTAATATGGTATTTACTGTAGGTAAACTTATAAACATGAATAGATAATATATATGCTAAATGCATTTATTAGATGCACCTAATAGATTCATGTTATAAATATTATTTGAATTTCAAAAACTTCGCCCAATTGAAACCCTTGTTCGTGCTCCCCTTGAACGAAATGTGCAATTATTTTACCAGACCAATACAACATTGTTTAACCTGGGCGTGGCAGTAGTTAAGTACTCATTATAAATTAAATAACCCTTTCTACTTCAATATGCAGCTAAAATAACAAAAGGGTACACAAAATGGCCAACAGCTGTGGAAAAGTCGGTATATTATTGTACAAACTAGCAGTGGGAGTCGAGGCAGGATGTTGACTCCTCGGCATGCTACTAATTACAAGCGAAATGTTAATTGTTTGGCAACAGACATGAACTCTAACTTTTGGCCAACAAAAACAGGACAAACAGATAAAACTGTTGCCTACCCTATCACGCAGGACTTTCCCCTTTCTCTCTCGCTCTCCCTCTGCTTTTATGCAGTTGATGCTCTTTTACTGTCTGGTTACATTTCTTAAAGCGCCCGATACTTACCTGTATCTAAATGCTCTCCTTGCCAAATGTCGCTGAGGCAGCGAATTTGCCAACCCACAACTGAAATTTGGCTGATGTTGCGCCTTGTAAGACGCCATCCCTATATTACGCGACTTCACTTTATCCTCCGAGCCTGCCTACGTGCAGCGACTGTGACTGCGATAGTTTGGCCTCACAGATCTGGCCCCAACCGGAAACGCTTATAATGGTTGCGATTCCACTGTGTAAATGGAGGTAAATATTTAATGGGAAGCGTCCGTTAGGGCCCACGGTTAGACAACCCAACACACTTTAGAAGCTTGTAAAATCTTTAATTCACTAAAATAAAACTGAGTAAGCTTGAGTGGGTCTGTGTTCTCAGGCAGTGATAAACTGTCGACTCAATTGAAATGTCCCAAGTTCCATTTGATGTCATAGAAGAGGTGCCTTAACAATCAAAACATGTTGGGTCAACCCTGAGCTAATCTCAAAGCTCAACTTAAACTGTCAACAAATAACCACAAAACTCAGTTGACCATTAAAAGATTGGAAAAAAACAAACAAACAAACAAACAGCTAAATAACCCAATATTTGGTTTGATTTGGTTTACTTTTGGGCTATTGTTCGAAATCAACCGCATCAATTAGGATGAAACGTCCAAGCTAGAGGACAGCGAGAGAGCCAGCAGAAGCAGCAATGGGTCTGCAACGAAAATACATCGCGTGGAGGGAGGTCTCATCTATGTGCGACCGAATTTGCCCGTGCAGCAGAATATTGAAATCGAATTTAATGCAAAGGACGAAGCGTAAGTTGAGTAAACATCTATTGTTGATTGCCCAAGGTAAGCCATATCTATGTGGGTCCGCCTCACTGCCTTCCTCGCTCTAGTACACGCAATCTCATACTCAATGCCATCGAACGAAACGATTTCCTCAATAATCTAATGGACAAGGAGCGCAAGGACATGGTCATCAATGCAATGGCACCGGCCAGCTACAAGAAGAACAGTTACATCATCAATGAGCACGACGAGGGCTCCGAGATCTTTGTCTCCGCCGAAGGTTACTACGATGTCATACAAGCGGGTCAGAATGTGGGCAACTTCGGGCCAGCCACCGTCTTTGGTGAACTAGCAATACTCTACAATGCGCCACGCAAAGCCACTATAAAGGGTAAGTAGCTTCATCTCCAGAAGTGTAACACTGCAAGTGAACTCTGCCTTGCAGCTGCCACCGATGCGCGAGTTTGGAAGATTACGCGTGAAACGTTTCGTGCCATTATGCAAATCTCGGGCTCTAGGGAGCGCGAGGAGAACTTGCAGTTCCTACGCTCGGCTCCATTTCTGCAGGAGCTGGAGAAGAGTCTACTCACCAAAGTTGTCGATCTGTTACAGCGGGTAGGAGCTCTTACGTTTCTTTACAAGTCGCAATAAACATTTTGGAAATGTTCGTAGAAATTTTACGAGACAGGCAGCTGCATTGTACGCGAGGGCGAGGTGGGCAACGAGTTCTTCATCATACGCGGCGGCACGGTGACCATCAAGAAGAAGAACCAAGCTGGGCAGGAACAAATTGTGGCCAAGCGTAAGCGTGGCGACTACTTTGGGGAGCAGGCACTCATGAATGCGGACGTCCGGCAGGCGAGCGTCTATGCGGATGCGCCAGGCACTGAGGTGCTCAAACTGGAGCGAGAGTAAGAATTAAACGCCCAATAAGTCTACTCGTAGTATATCCTGCCCTCTTCTGCCCTCTTCACAGGGCCTTCATCAGCTACCTGGGCACCATAAGGCAGCTGAGCGAGAAGCCGCAAGCGCAGACCAACAACGAGAATGGGCGTTCAAATAGCAAAGGCGCCGAATTCGATAATGAGCATGCACACATCGCAATCTCGGATCTGAAGAAAGTAGCTACTCTGGGTGCTGGCGCTTTTGGTCGTGTGGATCTGGTCACGCACAACAGTAAGGCATTTGCGCTGAAGATCATTAAGAAGATCGAGGTGATTAAGCAGGATCAAATCGAGCACGTCTACAATGAGAAGAATGTGATGATCAAGTGCCGCGATTCACCCTTTATAGTGCAGTGAGTAGATTCAATCTGAAATCTAATGACATTTCAACTTTCGGAAACCCTTTAACCTAGACTCTATCGCACCTATCGTAATGAGAAGTATGTGTACTTTCTGATGGAGGCCTGCATGGGCGGCGATGTCTGGACGGTCATGTCAAAGCGTCAGTATTTCGATGATAAGACTGCCAAGTTTATAGCGGGCTGCGTCGTAGAAGCCTTTGACTTTCTGCACGCGCATAACTTTATCTACAGGGACCTCAAGCCGGAGAACCTGATGCTCAGCAGCGATGGCTACTGCAAGCTGGTAAGTTGTTATGAAACTTTGAATGCCACATATTTTGAATGGGCATTTTAAATATTTATCAGGTCGACTTTGGCTTCGCCAAGTACGTGCGTCCCAACGAGAAGACCAACACGTTTGCCGGCACGCCTGAGTATGTGGCGCCCGAGATTATTTTGGATCGCGGTCATGATCGCGCCGTGGACTACTGGGCACTGGGCATACTTGTGTATGAGCTGCTGGTTGGCAAAACGCCCTTTCGCGGGGTCAATCAAATCAAGATCTATCAAAACATCCTGAGTGGCATCGATGTCATACACATGCCCTCCCGCATACCCAAGTCTGCGCAGCATCTAATACGGCATCTGTGCAAGCAGCTGCCCGCCGAGCGGCTGGGCTATCAGCGCAAGGGCATTGCGGACATTAAGCGGCATAGCTGGTTCGAGAGCCTGGACTGGACGCGACTTAGACAAAAACAGCTTCCCTCGCCCATTAAGCGCAACCTGAGGAGTTTGACAGACCTGCAATACTTTATTCACGCTCAGGAGCCAGACTACGAGCCGCCCGAAGAGCTAAGTGGCTGGGATAAGGACTTCTAAAAAAGTATATATAACCAAAGACATTGTTCATAAGTAAATAGATTTTAATCGGTTAGACCGTAGATACGAGGCGAATACGTGTCATAAGCTGTAAATAAATTTGATATTATGATTGTTTAAAGTTGATGACTTTCAGAAGTTGATCTGGAACCCGACAGTGCACTCCCGATGTTGTGCAATTTAACTTTGGTTAGCTTCTGTACCGCCTGCGGTTGATGCCGCCCAATCAGCCACTTCAATTAGAAGCGCAAACTTGTTTTGTTGTTATCGAGATGTCACACGCACACACACACACACACACACACACACAACAGAGTTAGCCAAGCAACTAGAATAAATAAACATTTTTAATTAAGCGCTTTCAGCGAGTTTTCACTTGGCTCGCGACACATTGTTTTCAAAGTTTCTATGTTACAAAACGCTGTCCAGTCTTAAAGACACATATATGCGCTGCAGACAGCTTTAAACATCATTAGGTGGCACTTTATAATTGTGTCTTAAAGCAACTTTGTCGTCCTATTGTCTGGCTTGTAGGGCTGAGCTTGTGCTGTCGTCATCAAGAGCTGACGGTAGTCATTATTGCCCGCATGCCGTTGACATTCATTTGTATCTTATAGATACTTCTAAAAGCACATCCAACATAATTGCATTGTGTGCATGTGGCTTTTCATGCCACGTTGCGAATGCTGCACATGACACAAACTTTATTGTTTTTGAATATAATAATAAAGTGGAGCTTGCCTTACGGCAGCTAACGAACGAGCAAGGTTTCCCATCTAGGTAGCTCCAACAAGTGCGAGCAAAGCTGCCCAGAAACCTCAAGTGTGTGTGTGTGTGTGTGTGTTTCTGTGTGCGTGTGTGTGTGCGTCAGCTTGGTCGTTATGCAAATATGAAACGGAGTCGAGTGCAATTACGTGAACTTGAGGTCTTTATATCAAGTCTCTGTGGACCACCTCAAGCCAATGTTCTACGAGTCCAACTGAAACTTCAGCCCTTTGTTTAATTTCGGACTGACGAATTCAAATATGAAAATATAAATTAATTTTATTTTTATGATAGAAATAAAAACTTTCTTATCAATATATGTTTCTATTTTATGTTCATAATTATAGTGGACAATCAAATCAGTTCGAGTTTTGTTTTTGTTTCCGTATAGTCACAAGCATCGGTGGTTCAGTGGTAGAATGCTCGCCTGCCACGCGGGCGGCCCGGGTTCGATTCCCGGCCGATGCAAAAACACTTTTTTTGCATATAAAATATTTTATTTGATATAATTGTATACAACATAAACACCTATTGCCACAGTCACAGAGCTTAGTATTGAGAGGAAATAAAAAGCTCATTCAATCATAGAAAATAAAATTGCTGCTTTGTGGTTGCTGTTGTCGCCCACTTGGCCTTGCTGTAAACACAAACTGACGATGCAGGAAAAAGCCACAAAAATAATAAATGATAATTGATAATAACGTTTTGCTACCTTCCTTCCGTTGGCAGTCACAGTAAACGAATAAGCCAAATAAAAGAGAGTATGTAAAGGAAATCAATAAAAATGATGGCGACAACATTTGGTCACAATTTCAATTTTGTGGCAGCCAAGCAAAACGAGCAAAACGCCGCAGCATTTCAACAATTTCCGACCGCCGTCTGTGACGGCAGCAAGTGAAAATTTTCATTTTCGCAACTGTCGCAAATGTTTGCTATATATTTTCTTAGACACCTCAGACAACGCCTTCCAGCATTTCTATGCGACTGCACACCGCAGCGACAAAGTTGGACGAAATGTCATCATTTCCGTTGGGAAGACTGTGCGCGCTCAAGCGACAACGACGAGGACGAGGACGAGGACGAGGACGTCTACTAGAAAACGAGCATGTCGACGGGTTATCAGTAAAACAGAGCGCGCACACCGGGCGAAAAGGGTTAACTAAGGCAAACCATGCAAATCCCATTTTATTTGCCCGAAAACTTTTGATGCAAAAAGCCTCAAAAATATATATTTGAACGAATCCGAAACGCAGGACGAAAGCAGCGAGTCGGTTCGTGCCCCAGGGCCACTCAATGCTGCCGCGCACGGTTCTTAAACGAAGCGTGAAATTGTTAAATGAGTGCGAATGTCTACGAAGTAGCAGGATATCCGAAGGGTCCGCCTAGTAGATGGGGCTGCCTTTCTTGCATTTGTGTGAAATTATTGATTAAGAAAGTTGCTCGACATGCACGTTTGGTCAACTTCTACTCGCCAGATATACCCCTGCTCCATTCAATCCAATTGAATCGAATTGAGTTTGTGTCCCGCCTGGGCTCTCATCGAATTGAATGCCAATTGAGTCCAGTCTTTGAATTATAATTAAATAATGACATTTGCAACTAGCATTTATGTTACAGAAATTTAGTTGGATCAAAATCGAATTTGTGTGAAATAAAAATTAGTTACTCTTTTGCAAAACTAAGTTAAGGTGCTTCATTTACATTACGTATACGCAACGTTGTGGCTACATTCAGTTTTGTCCCAGCACACATCATTTAGATCCCAGAATATTTACATGTGCCATCATCGAGTACAAGTCGAGCTCTCTCTCTCTCTCTCTGATAAACCTAAACAATATTTGAATATTTAAAACATGTCCCCTGCAGGCTACAAATGCTCCATACATTCGTACATAAGCACGTCTGTGAGTCTTTGAAATCTTTTGAAACAAAACTGTCAAAACAGGCCTAACAAGCAATTTATAACTTGTGGATGGCAACGAACACAAAATGAAAGCATAAGAAAATGTTTTTCATAGTTTGAACTGTTGGTCAAACTATGTAGTTACTCGAAATAGGCCTAATATATGCAGCCTTGGCAAACTTAAAGCCCCTTTAAAACTTGGACTTTACCCATTCAAATATACGAATGCAAATTTTGTGCCAAACCTAAAGGACTTGGCAGCACGGCTGCTGCTTGCATAACTTGTCCACAATCTGATTGGGGCTACAAACAGCATTTTGACCCTAATCAATGTGAGTATTGTTTACCTACACTTTTCTAACATCTGATGCCCGACAGCCTACAAAACTGTGCTCAAATATGTTTCATATTTCGATTGAAGCCAGTTATGTCCATTGATTTAATCTATACATGTACACATTTCTCATAATAGACTGTTCAAACTGTTGCGACAACACTTCTGAAGCTTAGAAATTGCCGAGCTGAGTCTTAGGCCATACTTTTTCATAGCAGAGCAACCAATATTAAAAGTATGTGCCAATCATTAAGTGGAGAATAAATGTATAAAACTTGTGCATTTTGATTCTACGATGCAGATTTAATTATGCTTGAGCTGCATTTTCCCTGGAGTGTGAAAGTAAAATGATTCACAAAAAAAAATATGGAAACTGACTTAAAGCATCGACATGAATCATTCGGTCTGAATGAATGACTAAATGTTGCTCGACACATTTTCAAGCTGCAAAGCACAAATTTTTACTGAAGCCCTATTTTAGATCGCACTAAGTTAAGTTGCAAGGCGGGGTTTCGCAAGTGTGAAACTTTTGGCTTACAAATGATTTTCACAGATCTATTTGATAGGTGCTTGACACTGTTCAGAAATTGCAACCCTTCCTGGTGAAAAGGATCACTTAAAGGAACTTCATAAAAATTCATTGGATATGTGTTGCTAAAGCCATCCTTACCGGGTTGAAATGCGGTGGGAATATAAGCGTTGGGCTAAAATGTGGCAGGTCAGGCAGGTTTTTTTTTTCAACTACAATGTATTTTCAACTGTATGTATTTCAAGTACTTTTCGTAATTATCATTTCGTAACTAAGCTTAAGCAATCAATTTGTTGGGATCAGTTTCATTAATTCAGCACAAATAGTGGTATTATAAAGTGGATATCGATCAGTGGACAGCACCAAAGATAACTCCCCAATTGGCACTTACATGCACGCAAGTGCTGAACATCAACTAAAATCCGTTTTTGCTGCATTCAAATCACAAAACAAATCATCACAGGCCTCGGCCAGGCTCACACGCACACACAACAACAAATGTCGCTGTGTTGACCATTTACAGGCAAAACACACAAACGGCTGCCCTGGGTGCAATTTGAAATTTGGGCATTCAATAACGATTTACACAATATACATACATAGGGACACTGGCACAAGCACGCACACACACACACACACGCACACACGCACACACAGACGCACATGAATATCGTACGTGCGGTCCGAGCAAATAAGCTTTAAAATTTTACCATTAACAGCCGCCCAATGTTTACAAATGGCAGCTGAGAAGCAAAAGCAATGCAAAGTTGTCCTGTTTTCAAATGTGCGTTTAGCTAGTATGGATTTGTTGTGCTGGCAGCAGCAGGGACAACAAATGATTGTCCTTCGCCAATGTGATTCCATTGAGAGCTGGGCGTGGTCAGCTGATTGGGGCGGCCGCACGATTGCGATCTAATCAGCTTCGTTCTAAAAGAAGCTGTTAACAATATTGTCAATTTGGTGTCCACTCGCTGGCTGAACAATCGACGGCACGACGGCGGGGCAGCGGGGCGGCAGCTAGTTTATTTTTATGTTGAGAAAAACTTAAATTTGCATATTTTTTTTCACGATTTTTTTGGTTTTTCTTTTTGTGCCAGGTTGTTGGGACCCTTTTGTGTCCTTGCTGCTGCTGCTGTTCATTTTGTGTGCGTCGGCTGAGCAGCGTTTGCCACATAAACACTTTGGTGCTGAACACTATGAATAATTAATGAGTTTTGTGTTGTTGTTGCCGTTGCCGTTGCCGGTCAAGTTGTTGTTGTTGCTGAGAACTTTTAAACAGGCAACCAACATTTGCTGTTTGTTTGCCTTTGTGTGGCATGCTTTTGGGCGCTGCTTGGCGAGTAGGCTCATGCAATATTCGTGTGGCATTTAGGGTACTCAAGCAGTTGCTTGAAATGTGTTTCAAATTCAGAACTGAAACTTTGTCAAATAATAACACTATTTAATTTCACTTGGATGGGAAATTTAATAAAATTGTACCTCAATCTATTATTTTACTGAAAGTTGAATGTTGAATAAAAAAACTATACTTCTGCTCCACATTTTTGAGAATCTAAATGATTTGAGCTTTTTTTGAAGTCAAACGATTTGACAGACTGCAGCACATACTTAGCCATATGTGTACAAATCACATTATTCACACACTCTCGACCTCTCATCGCAATCAAATTATGTTATTTTCATGAGTGCCCCAAAAGTATGCAAATATTTGTTATGTGCAAATATATATTTCGCCCGCTTAGAATAAACATCTGCAGCCACAATAACAACAACAGCAACAACAACAAAGGGGCAAACATGCAAAAAGGTCGTTAGATTGTTAACAAGTTCATAAAAAGACGCTGGTACATAAGCATTCACACACACACGCACATATGCACGGCACAATTATAGAAGCAGCAACCGGATCCGGTGGCTGGGACTAAAGCTGAGACTGGCATTTGCACCACCTAAATACTACACGACGCGACTGGTTGCGTATTTGCAAAGCACTTTTTTCATTCAGCGTCTGCTGCTCCTCCTTTTTCTTCTTCTTCTTCTTCTACTGCTGCTCTGACGATGAGCAACAGAATGCAAACAGCACAAAAGTATGCTACAAAATAAAGGCCAGAGCCAGGCCAGAAGGCAGGAACGGCTGCTGCTGCTGTTTGCATGTGGCAATTGATGTTTGTATGGTGTGTGAGTGTGTGGGCGTGCGTGCGTGTGTGTGTGTATGTAAGGGTCTGCTGTATGCATTTGTATGCGTAGATTGAAGTTGCCGGCTCCAAACCTTTCGGATCGCATAGTCAATGGTAAATTAAAGCATAAACAAATGCAATCAGCAAGGGAATAAAACCAAAATAAATCCGCTTAAATGCAATACAATTTTTTGTTTGCTCTAGCCTTATTTAATGCTTAGTTGGGCAACAACAACAGTTGCTGCGGCAACAATTAAAAGCGATTTGCGACCGCAGTTAAAATATCTTTAATTCTATTGCCACCCCAAGTTCAAATGTGTGCGTGTGTGTGTGTGTGTGGCTGTGTGTTTGTACATGTGTATCTGGTAATAATAAAATTTTAAACAAAACCACGTATTTGAAATATGTTTGGCCAAATTAATTAAATTCCAATAAAGCATTAATAATAATTAAACTCATTTTTTTCTTGCTTAATGTTGCATATTGATCATATTTGCATATTTTATTAATTTAATTTTATTTTTTTTTTAATACTTAAAAAGAGCATGATTTATTTACATTGTATGAAGCATTTTCAATTAAAAAGCCATTGTTCTTGTTTAACCAAAACTCTCAAGTTAAATATTGAATCAATGTTTTCAATTTCAAAAGTTTAGTTCCGTTTTGATATAAAATCAATTTTAAATCGTATGGCAAAATTCGTCAAACAGAAAATAAATATCATAAATATGTGAATTTATAATTGACTTTGTGGGCTTAAACATTTCAAATGTGCATAACTTTTTAATACTATTTTGGACATCAATTGTACGGTTAAGTAATGTCTACTGATTTAAGCTTTGTATTTTTATTATCCCCTCCTTTTATTTTTTAAGACCTCGTACAATTCTAGCATTAACAAGAAGCTTCAAATTTAATACAATTTGGCTTTATTGAAACTCACACACACGCACACATACTCACTAATTAAAAATATTTTATAAAGTTAGAAGACCCGTATTTGAACCGAAACTCACCGTCAATCATTTTAGCACTCAAGACTGTGAAGGTGTGTGGGACTTCCTTTTGGCAGCTGTAATCAGAAAATGGAAAGTTTTAATTAAATAGAAAATATTTATGCAGTATTTATGCAAATAAAAAGAAACAACATTTAAGAAACGCACAACTTGCGACCGAGCGAAAATTACTGTAAAATATTAAACAATTAAGTAGAAAGAAATGTTGCCGCACAGCACAAGTGTTAATAATTGAAATACACATAGCTGCAAAAATGTTGGCCACGAACAACTTGCTAAACAAATAGGCGAAGCGAAATTTTAGCCTGCGGCCAATTAATAATAAATCGTGAGGGGGAAAAAGTCTGAGATGGAGGCAGAGGCGGCTGCCAACTAATGATGCGCTCCATTTGGGCCGAACCACGTGCAACAACAAATTAGCGCCACAAAACGGGGCAGAAAACTTGGGTCAGATGGCCCAAAAGTCAAAAGGTGGCCGAGACAAGAAAAAGATAAAGGTGCAAAGGAGAATGTGGCCAAAAACTTTACCAAAGGGTCGTTCAATTGGTCTTAGCAACTGTTGCGGGCTTAGCGCCTGATTGAGCGCGTCCAAATTTAAGGAGCATTTCCTCGTTTCCCCGTTTTCCCGTTTTCTCGCCCAACTTTCAGCGCCTGGCTCTTGGCTCTTCCACGCTTTTGTTCGCGTCACGGACTGATTGATAAGGTAAATTCGACCCGGGCGTGGGCAAGGTCAGCACAAAAGTGATTCAAACAATTTGTTGAAGAATTTTTGGTGGTTGCAATTTATGAATGGGCAACGGTATTTACCTTTGCTCTGCATGTATTTGCTTATTTTAAAATTAAATCAAGTTGCCTTATTGCTTTGTGGCCAATGAATTAGGGCAACTTGAGCCTAATTGCATTACTTAATTATCCTGGCAGGTGCTTATGGGACTGTGCTGAGTTGGACTCAAAGGCAAGTCAAGTTTTAGAAATTAATGGCACCTAATATTGAGATAAATGAAGACTTTAATCTAAATAAAAGCACAAAGGAAAAATGAAATATGATGTAGAATTGAAATTAAAACTAAATAAAAGAGAAACTGCGCCGTAAAAATGCCTCCTCAATCATATTATTTCAATTGGGAAACCTTTGTGAGCTCAATTCCGAATTCCCATAACTTCGCCAGCATTTTCTAATCTATTTCGAAATCAATTTTCAACTGCCTTGGGTGCCTTAATAAGCCCGAATCGAAAATAACAAAAGCTAATCAATCAAAATGCGCAGCCTGTTTGGCTTATGTATTGCCAATACCGCCCAGTCGTTTCGGCCTTTGTCGAATCAGGCAAACAATTTACGCACTGCCAAAATACAAAATACATAAATAAATAAGCATAAAACTGCGAATTTGTATCAAGAAGCAGCCCAAGTTGTGTTTGGGGCCAAGGTCGAATTGCCGAAATTGCGTTCCACTCGAGATTAGCCATGCCTTAAACTTCTGACTCGCCTTTCAATTTCAAATATCAAAACTCATTTTGACACGCATCAAAAGTGAAAACTGACAGCGTAAAGAATGGTTCAGGAGAATTGAATTCATACCTGGAGGCGTAGGGGTAGGTTTGATTGATTCTCATATTGTTCAGATGCCTTTGTTTATAGATGATGATGATGATCATGATGCCGATGATGAAGATGGTGTGAGGAGCTGCTTAGATGTGTTGGATATTTATCCCGACAACAACCACAAGTTCAATTAAATTTGCTTAATCAATTGTGAATGTTGAACAGAATTAGGGTATATCTGTTTTGCGGCGTAATTAAATTTTCTAATTGAGTTGGCATCGACTTGAAATGTGCCGCAATATCGCTGACGTGCCACAAAATTGACTTTGGCTAATTTATAAGCGGCATACTTTTTGGCATTTAGGCCATGTGCCTAGTATTCTGGCCTTGTTTTGGTCTAGGGCCGGGCTATACAAGTTCGCTGGTGTTGCCAATAAATTATTTATGCTGGTAAAAAACTTGCGCCACATAAAAATACTCTTAACAGGCCTAAAGGCAGGCAATACTTTATGTTGTTTATGTGCAAATTGTTTTCTCTTTGTTTTTTTTTTTTATTCTTTTCTTTTCTAAGTGTTTTGATTTATGTACACAAAGCTGCCACGCCTCAGTCGTAATTTATGCCTGTATACACAGTCCCGCAAAAGCCACATAAAAAACGAAATGTTCTCAAACTTGAAAAAACATTTGGAATACATTTGTTTAATTAGTGGTTGCACACGCAGAATGATATGACTTATTACACGATCTTAGTTATGAACTTGAGAACCCAATATAAAAGGCAATTAAATGCAATGCAGACTTTTATGAAGAGCTAGTCAAAGATTTTTTTAGATTTCTTAGCAATGTACTATGCCTCAGCGCACATAGTTCCCAAGCCCACAAATATTGGCAGTTATATTTGGTATAGGATACATTCACGGCTTACAGAGACCAGATCTTTCTTTATCAAGTATCCCAGACAATTCGTCAACTGAATCCTAAAATCGATTACAAATTCCTGCACAGCAATTATATTCTATCTAAATAGTTCCAAGACATAAGGCTGCATAACTTTATGACAGCTCATTTTATTTACCCATTTTGATGAGTTCAGGAGAGAGAGAGAGTGAAGAAAAAAATGTGCCGCCTAGGTCTATACAACAAATTTGAAAATAAATCACAGCCGGCAGCAAGGATACAGTTTTCCTGTTTCGAAAGAAGATGGCATGCATAATTAGAGCAACCTGTCTGCTAAAATGAATAAATTTGCGCCCTGAATGCGACTCGCATGTGTACACTTGAACATGAATGCAAACTCTCCTGTGAAAATGTGTATGAATGCATTCACGTATATACATATATGTGTGCGCAACTGTATGCGAGCGGACATTTGCAAGTGGCAAAACTGCAGAGATAAATGTAAAGAAATACATTTTGCGCCAGCTGCCAGCACTTTGCGGCAACATCTGACCACAATATGAAAATTGAACGACCGCATACTCCTTAAAGTTGAATAAGCTGAACCCAACTGAATCCCACCAGATACTAATTGCCCATACGAATATACTTTAAGCATTCGATAATGTCCACAACATCCAAATAGTTCAGATGATTGCAAATGTCTTGATCTCTTTGTTGCTTAATTTCAACTAATTTGAGAAAAGCAAATTTGTGTCTATGTGTCTATTTTTTATTTGTAAGTATATGTTTTATCTAGGGTAAATGCATATGCCCAGGAATTTAGACCCAGATCTTACTTCTTTGTACCCATCCGTCTGCAATTTAGCACTGTACCTTAATAAAGCTATCCTTTCATATTTATTATGTTGTATTTCACGCAATATCTAAATAAAATCAAAGTTAAAGGGTTTACTCGACTAATAGCAGATTATTTAGTTAACCCGTTGCGGTTGTATTTTGACTTGACTTGGCCAAAATGTGTTCATAAAATTATTAGAATAAAAAGCCCTTTCGGCGAGCAGCATTCCGTGAGCCACTAAAACTGTTGCACATAATTATATATAATTATTTTTTACAGCACGCCATAAGCCATGAAAATTACGGTCTTTACCCATGAGGCTGAAACCGCAGTTATGGCAATGTTTAGTGCATTTGGCCCACACTCACGGCCAAGCGACAAAAACCAAAAACCCAACAAATTGCGCTCTGTCCCATTCAATAGATAAATATGTCTATGTGTATGTCCAGCTGATGGCTGATTGCATCGGTTTATTATTTTTCACACACTATTACGCGCTCAATTTGCAGTTGCTAATCGACGGCAATGGTGATTAAAACTTCTAATGTGGCACATTGTTGCTAAAGGCAACGTCCTCCCATCCAGAGTCTGGGATTGCTTCGCTCTGGCTCGACCTTTAGTGCAAGACCTGACTTGACTTTATTGAGTGATTATTGATATTTATGGCTAGAAAAACCGGACTTAGTTGGCCACTTAATATGTTTAACAGAGCGTTGAATTTATGGCCTCGACTAATAGCTAACTCTTGCAATGCTGAACACGTCGAGTGCGATAGCATAACTATATATAATGGGAGTAAGTAAACATTAGAAATCAGACGACTTTTTTAATTTATGGTCTGATTCCATGCATCTCTTAACCAATAAATATATCTATCGACATGGCTGACATTTGTGTCTTAGAGAGAACTTTTTGCAATCAACGTGCAGGTTGATTGAAATGCGTTTATCAACATGTGCATTAATATTAATTATGCAGTCTTTTCAACATACATCGAATTGATTATATTATAATTTAATTGAATTTCACACACGTCTGATATATATATAGTATTTGTCTGTCCATTTAAAACACTCTCATTATATACATTTATCCAATAATAAACAGACGCAAGCATTTTAAAATAAGTTTTTGCCTACCTCTCATAACACCGAGAAAGTCTATCTGCGGATCTGTTTGGCTGTTCCGACTGTTGTTGACATTAATTGCCAATTAATTTTGCTGCTGCAACATTAACAGAATTCAATAAATTAATAATATTTCGTGCTCTTTGAAAACAAATATCTGCATAAATGTATTCATATATATATACTATTAACAGTTCGCTATGTTAATTAAGAGAATTGTCAAATACAGAAAGTTCGCCAAAGTGGAGCAATTATCAATAAGCAGCGTTTGTCATTCCAAGCATCGAGGAGTCTTCAGTTTGTCCGTTTGGGTCTCTTTTTAATGGCCTTTTAATCGAGACAGCAACTTTAAAAGCCAAGTCAACAAAAAAATAACCCAAATTCTAAAATTGCCTAATAGAAATTTAACAGGGTGCGCACAAAGGCAGACTAGTTTTTTTGTTTGAAAAACTTTAAACGACGCCTTAAAGCCAAACCCAAACGTGCGTAACAAATGCCAAACATTTAAAAACAACACATTAGAGAGAGAAAGAAAGGGGAAGAGAGAGAGAGAGAGAGAGCGAGCATGATTGGGAGAGAGCTGAGTAAATAAGTGGACAGTGAACAAAACAAAAGTTAGGGGCAAAAATCACTCATACGCACTATCTAACAAGCAAAGAAATAGAGAGAATAGGAGATAGGAGCTCAAAGCTTGGCACACACACGCACACACGCACGAGTTTATTTACGCTTCAATGCAGTTGGTTGGCATCTGGTTTGCGGGACTTGGTAGGTGTTAAACTTTGCTTCATTTTCGAACATTTTTGCTTTGCGCTTTACGTCATGTATTTGCCTTTTCGTCCCTGCGTCGCAAACACAATACGTGAGATCAAAGCCTGCGTAAGAGTAACAAAACATATATATATATACTTAGAAGTACATTCATATAAACTTGTGTAAAAAACGAAAGCATAAAATAAAAGTTTGACGTCGCTTTGTTATTTGTCTGTTCGTTGGACCAAAGTCAATTTATGGTTTGCTACCCGCGTAATTTCATTTTGTTTTGTTTGACTTGATTTTCGTGTAGCAGCTCGCAGATAATGCGACAGCCTATAAAATGTTGCCAAATTTGTGCTTTTATGATTATGGTTTAGTTTGTTTTTTAGCTCATAAAATAAAGAGCATAATTAAAATTATTTCATGGTCCAAATTTAATGCTGGGCCCATAAAGTTTTAAATCAAAATGCAAAATTTTGCAAAATATTATTTAGTATATTCCAAATAATATATTATTTATTTATAAGATATTCAAAGCCATCTCTCTTTCCTTCTACAAGTGTAGCAGGCTGTGAAGGCAACTTTTTAATATTTTCATAAGCCGCTCAAGTGTTGCGCGTCATATGCGGCGTATGCGCAATTATTTTTAAAGCACATTAATTTTTCAGGGCGACAATGCAAGCGTCGCATTTTAATGCTCTTTTAAAAGGCCATAAATAAATTTGCTATTAATTCAATTGTAGCATCAGTGCACACGTGCACAACCGCGCACAGACCAGTTTCTGGACACAATCAGCCATTGGCTTTCGACTGCTCGGCGTCTGCATGTATGCAATTAAAAATTTGCACGTTGTTTTTCGTTCATTAAGTAGCACCGGCGTGTGCTTCCGGCTACGCCAGTGCAGTCCTCCCTCTGTTGCAGTTTTACTTTTTGGGACAGACTTCATCTTGCTGCTGGCATTAATACAAAAATAAATTCATTATTGCCTCCACCAGCCGAAAGGCAGGCTAGTCAATTCTTAAGCGACATTGGCTTTAACGGGCTTAGTTTCGCCAGCGCATATTTCATGTCTTATCTCTACTGACGCTATTAGTTTTGATAAATGGTTTTATCGACAGTTTTCAGGTAAGCACTGTCAGCGCTTTACCTGTTTTATGTTCAACCTTGCCGGCTTAGCACAAAAATGTAACATGAACTTTAAGAATCTAAGCTTATTCTAAGCCATATGGTAGCTAAGCAATTAATATCTAGAAGTGAATATTAGTAAGCCAAGCTAAGATTTGCAGACCGAAACTTAGAAATTTGAATACACGTTATAGAAAACAACTAGAATATTTGTAAATGCAGCATTCGGGGTACCTCCTAGTCTGTCAACTACCAGACAGTCGGTCCAATCAGTCCATCAGTCAATCGGTATGGACAAACATTTAGTTATGAATTTATATATATTTAAAGTGCACTTTGTAACAGTTTTATGTAATAAATGTAATAAAGAATGTTGTTTATGACTTGGTCATTTCATCATTTGTAGGTTATTCAGTTAACCCTTGAGGTCCCATTTGCTGCTTCCTTTGCGGTGTCTCTTGATGATCTTCTTGCCAGGATGCCTCACCACCTTCCACTTGTGCTTCCTCCTCTTCTTCTTGCACCGCATGTTGAGGATGCGGCTGTGGTGGTATCGGTGGATGCGGCCGCTGTGGTGGTATCGGTTGATGCGGCTGCTGTGGTAGTGTCAGTGGATGCAGCCGCCGTCGTTGTGTCGGTGGATGCAGCTGCTGTGGATGAGTCCTGTCCATTGCTCAACGGCAAGTAGCAAAGGCATATTACCAAGACGGCACAGTTAAGTGCAATTATTCTGAACTTCATCTTGCACAAATCAGTTAGTGAATGATACTTTAACTCTAAATTCAATTGCTTTTATAGTAAATCGTGATTATCGCATAGTGTACACATATGGTTCTGCAATTGTTTCGTTCTGTAAACATCAAACATAAAACAGACTGTCATATTTTTAGTTTTTGGATTTTCTGCTTGTCCTAAACTGTTGACGGAACATAAATATTTACTCAGTTGGAACCATTAGAGTAAAATAATATTTCTTTTAATAATATGGAACAAAATATGTGTCCCATTTCTCTCATAATTATTAGTTCAAGTTATTAAGCTATCATTATCAAAAATTAAATATTTGTGTTATGAATTATATTTTCATACTGCGCCTGAGCCTCACACACAGCAAAAAACACTTTCAGTCAAATTTTGTTAGATCTTTCCTTTCATTTTCCGATTATCGTTTCTACAGAGACCTGATTTTAGCCGAACATCTTAGATTTCTCAATATTATCTTCCAAATACACCACTTATAGATGTGATCGAGCCACCCGTATCGGAGGGGAAGTACCCGTTGCTGGTGAGTCTGCTTGTTCGTCGGATCGCCTTGAACACCCCATCTCGGAGATCGAGTTGTTGGCTGTAGGAGTTGTAGTTTGGAAGTTTCTGTGTCTTTACTGCATATTCCTACATTCCTTCACTATGTTTGTCTTGGGTGCTATAATCTCCCAGATGTAGATTAGTCAGATTGGAATTCAACTTCTATTGCCCTCTTCGTCAAATGAATTAATTCAAAAACTGAACTTCGTGTTGGATTCGTTCGACTGTGTTGTGCACAGGATTGACTAGCTTTCACTTTCTGATGGCCCTTTTCATCCAATTCTGGATATGGTAATTGATCTATTCGCCCAAGTGTCTGTCAGGCAATCGGAATTAGTAGATCATATTCGCTGTTTCCGTATGTTTTATTTTCCATAGCCTAAATGATCTTATTCTTCAAGTCAATTGGTCCCAAATATTTTATTAAACTATTTGAAATTATTAAACTTTTTCATTATATCGTTTATATGCTCTTTGATATCGGCGTCAGAGACCTTAACACAATCAAGCGGGCTTAGTCACCCGGGGCCTGGGGGTGTTCCCGCCTTTGAGCTCAGGAATTTTCAAAGAGCCTGCCTATATTTTCTGAACATTTGAAAGAATCAGACATGATCCCTCTCCATAAGATAAGGAGAAAGTCCAATGTCCGTTACACGTTAAGTTTTTGAGAGAATCATAAAATCTCAAATGCAACATTTATATAAATCTATTAGATAGAACAACAGCCTCTAATATTCATTAGATAACTTAGCTAGAAATTAACGTTAAAAGAAAAAAAAGCAGCCTGACTTCATCTATACTGATTTCAGTAGGGCTTTTGACTCCGCTAATCACTCCTAACTGCTTTATAAATTATGCCTTCTCGGCTTCCCAGTCCACACTGTTAAGTGTGCTTAGGCCGGGCTTAAATATTTACTCTTCAGCAGGTGTAGACAACACCTAAAGCTGTTGGCAAAGTTGTGGGAGACATCACTTGAAACAAACGATGTGAAAACGATTATTGAAAAGCCATTTTCAAGGTTAGAAAATGAGTAGAAAGCACCCGTTACAAAATATTTGTAATGCAAAAATATATATGTATATAAATATATAAATAACCTGCAACCTGCATTTTAGGTAACGGTCCAGCCATGAGTGAGGTCAAACTTACTCATTTAGGGCAGAACGGGCTCAGTATATCTAAATTTAGGGATTTTAAAGTTTCACATAATGAAAGAGGATTCATATTTGTTTGGCAAAGTCTGGATTAGATCTTAATAACGCACTTAAAATTGCCAATACACCAAGCTACTTCGTTTGGATCCGCAAATTGCCTTAACCACTTTATATAGAACTAGATAAAGCTTAAGTATGTTTGAACAAAATAATTAATATTATTTATTTCAAGTGCACTGGAATAACAAATCTTAAATCTATAGGTAAATTAAAATTGTCAATTTTCAGGTCTTTTTCAGGCTCAGTTATCGAATGTTCATTTATCCAGATCTTCTTCTCGATTTCTTTGAACCTTTGCGTCCACTGCTTCTACTGCGTCCACTCTTTCCTCTGTGTCCACTACTGTGTCCACTGCTACTACTACTCTTTCCAAAAATTGATTTTTTGCCGCCTTGCGATGCCTCTTGATGATCTTCTTGCCGGGATGGCCTCACCACCTTCCACTTGCGCTTCCTCCTCTTCTCTTGCCACCGCATGTTGAGGATGCGGCTGTGGTGGTATCGGTGGATGCGGCCGCTGTGGTGGTATCGGTTGATGCGCTGCTGCTGTGGTAGTGTCAGTGGATGCAGCCGCCGTCGTTGTGTCAGTGGATGCAGCTGCTGTGGATGAGTCCCTGTCCATTGCTTCAACGGCAAGTAGCAAAGGCAGAGAACCAAGAGGGCACAGTTAAGTGCAACTATTTTAA